ATTGATAATTTTTATATAAGTTCATAAACTGTAAATAAAAACATTTTTTCTTTTCCAAAAGGGGTAAAAAATTTATGAAAAAAACCCCCCTTTTTTGAAATATCTTTTTTGCAAGCCTTCGCCGTCCCCAACCCTCGGGTTTTTTAAATTCACATAGAATTTATTTAAGTGCCATTGTGTATGAAGCTTATAGACACATGTCTGGATCCAACCCAGTATTGAGCAATGAGTTGTATTTTTTTTTTTTGCTCAAGGAAACACTGGCTCGTCTCTGACGGGATTTGAACCCACGCGGATAGCGATACTAAAGTTACTATTCGGTTTCGCCCATGCGCCATCATAACATGTCCATTAATCATAATATTGATATAACTAAATGTGTCTTAGATGTTTAAGATTTTGATTTCCAATGCTGACAAGGTTGAAAAAAGAGAAATGTGCCAGCTTGTTGAGAGCATATAACTAAAAATGGATAATACTGTTCTTTAAAAATGATATGCAACTTAAAGTTCTCTCAGGGTATTTCTTATTTGTAAATGTGCTGGTGAAAAAGGTTATTCTTGTTTTCCTACTTTTTCATCACTTTTATAATAAGTCGTGTATTTTTTAAATTAAAACTACAACGAAAATAAAATTTATAAAGTAACTAAATCCCTTCAATAAATGACTTTGAAAAATTTTGTTTTTACAGGCCCAAAATTGGTATTTAAACCAAAAATGTAACAAAAAAATTTTTCCGGGCACGGGAAAACCCTAATTTTGGGCAAAACCCCTTATTATGGGGAAAATGTTTAAAATACATCTCGGAATCTTCCCACTGCCCCTGTAAACGGAACAAATAAATTAAAGTATACAAATGTGCAAAATGTCACCAAAGAAGTCTTTGTACTTTCTCTATTTTTAGAGGGGACAACCCTTATGCTTATTTATTTTTATGATAGATTTCGAAACCCAGGGCAATATTTGCAGATAGGGTTTCCCCTTTTACTGGCATTCAAAAGTATTTTTTTTAAATCCCACTTCGGGTTGTACGAGCAATTATATATATGCAGATGTTTACCGTATAAACTCGTTCTCTGGATATCTGATTCACCAATAAAGATCTTTTTTTGTCACTTTTCTCTTCTTTTCATAAAGTGTTAATCCGTTTTATTCATTTCTGATCGTAAAGGCGTTTTGACGTCATTCCTTTGTTCTGACCGTACTGTATTTTTAATACAGTACAGGTAGGTATCCAATATTAATGTGCCAGTCGAATATTAATCGTGTAACACATTAATATTAGACAGCGTGCCATGTCTTGAAAGAAGCTTGTTTGACCACAGGATTTTGTGGAAAATTCTCCAAAGAAAAAAAAACAAATAGAAGAAAAAACCGGTTAAGTTAAATGTAACCTCTAATCTCAGGATTTAACACGAGAAATGATGCAATGTTTTTCCTTCGCCCATTACGTATTTACATAATTTTACAAAAAGAACAATAATTGTTATCTAGCTTATTTAACGAATTATTATTCAAAGCCTACTGATTTTCGACTTTCAAGCTCTTAACATCACATCACTGCTTACGCTGTCAAAGTAAAAGATAGCGGGGTCAGTTAGGATATGATTTTATGGGATTGTTTAATTTCTTGCATATTTTCCGGGGTTTTTTTTTCTTTCGTTTTTAAATATACTTTAAGTTGACAATCATACTTGATTTGCTTTATTGTATGTACGTTGTGTTTCAGTTAAGTCAACTTTTCAAATAAGGGTAATGGTCAGTTTGTCAAATAAATACAATAGAGAAAATGAATTCATCTATTTAAACCAAAAGCGGTTATATGACTGCTTATGTAAAGAAACAATACCAGACTCCTATGGTATGACAAATATCAATTCAAAAATAAGAAAATATCATTTTGTTGCGTTAATATCCAAAATTTATACTAATGGCACAACATTTTACATCCGAGATAGTTGTAGTAAAGTAAAAATATCATTTTAACACTAAATGGTCAGTATAAATCCTTTTTAAAACTCATAGATTGTTTCAATCATTTAAAATATCCGGCAAAAATTGTTATTATTTCTTGTAAAAGTCACAAATGTAAATTGATGTATACTGTATGTGTGTATATCCAACATTTTGTGTAACTGGTATATTTTGTGTTTATCATTGTGTTCATGTACATAATTGGCCATATTTCAAAACACGAAAGTTTCATGCAACGGACATTTTGTCATTCAAGAGGCTACCTATAGGGTTTTGCAAGTAAGAAAAAGATAATTGCTAAAACATTAATATTGTACATTTCTAGCACAAAAATCCATTCTAATTTTTCGATAGATAACATGATATTTGATGGTAAAAGTAGTAATTTAAGTAAGATATAAGCCTCAAACTGACCAATAAGTAAACTATTGAATTCCCTTCGGCGCTACGCGCCTCATGAAATTCAATATTTTACATATTGGACAGTTTTCGGCTGATATCTACTACATGACAAAAAAACAAGTTTGAGCTAAACCCGAAAATTATGCTTTATAGATGTTTCACGTTTTTCATTGATAGTGAATTTGATAAAAAAAGAGAAAAGTAGTTCATCAATTAGTACTTATATACGCAAGGTTAATGAAATATTCAACTATAGTTACTGTACTTTTTCATCCAATTTTACTGCAAAGCTACCTACAGAATTAGATAGTTTATGCGATCAGTTTTTTTCATTTATTTCTTACATCTAAACGAGTTTTCCTAAAAATACTTTTTCATTGAAGACTGAACACTTTTTTTTATCAAGATTAAAATAGATTAACTTATTTACGGTATCTCGTCTCTCTTTGTTATAGTAAGTGCATCTATCATCCCATTTCCTTTAACAGATATTGTAAATGCCAATAATACAAGGTACTGTATGTTCTGTAACAGATGATTTGAAGACAGCGAGAGACGTTCCTTCATCAACTGTATTTGGCAGTTACAGGAATATATCAATTTGTTGAATTGTTGTAACTCCCAAAATTTTTTGGCCTTCGCCGTCTGTTCGTCCGTCTGCATTCCGCTTGGCCGACCTTCATAAGTCAAATTTCACAGTAGTGATCAGTACAATCCCTTGTTGTGCATATCAAATCGCAGACACGTTCCGCTTGGCTGCACAAAATGAAACCAACTTTGTTAAACGCAGTTTTATAAAGTATTTAACTATATTTACTGTATTATTTGATCAAATCTAACTTTAAAGCTACCTACAGTATTTAACAGTTTATGCGAGCAGTTTGTTCTTTTTTCTTTTATCTAAAGGCATACCTATATTTGTTTTCTCTTTCATTGATAGCTGAAAAAGAAGTTTAAATAGTTATAAGCATGTTTCAAATTAATCTACTGGTAATAGTTGGTACATCTAATATCACTCTACCAGATGATATGAAGGCAGGGAGAGATGTTCCTCTTTTCATAAAGAATAATTAAACTGTAATTTGCAGTAACAAGAATGTATCTATGTTGAATTATTTCACCTTCTTGTTTTTAACCTTGACAAGTAACCGTTTTCTATGAGGAATTAAACTTAGTTGTTTGATTTTAAATTGTCAGTCAAATGTTATTTAATTATATGTAATAATCGCTTTTACTGATGCTTGCCATCATAATTTGAGCGGTTTTAAACATTTTAATGCTATTGCGTATAACTGAAATATTGTCTAACGTTATTAGATAAGAGCGTGCGTCAACGCGATACACCACAAAATATTTATACAAGCTATTAACCAAGAAAAAGATAAAACTGCATGTTTTCCTTTACAAAAATGAAGCGAAATGCAACAAAATGTATATTGCAACAAAACTTGAGGTTAGAATCAGCAATTGTCCTCAAGCATCCTACCCCTGTGTCATTTCGAGCGTTTGTAATTCAAATTCAAAATATATTTTATCGACTATGAAAACAAACTATATATTCTACTACACGTTAGTCGTTCATTTAAACGTCACACTTATTTTACAGTAGTTTATTAGTACATTTGTCCTTTTAAAATTCTTTCTCATGGGTACTAACAAAATTAACATTATACACATTATCGAAGTGTTCATTATCTCCCTTGAGGATTTTTTTACATGACTGGAATACTTAACGATATTTTTGTATAATTGAGTGTAAGTCGGGGACTGTAACTCGTTTGCGATTTTTCAGATCATTCTCCCACTCTTATTTTCCAGAATAATCGTTTACTTTTATTGTACAAAATGGCAGAAAAATGAAAAGCGACTTAGCAATTTTATTTTTAGAGAATTGCTTTCTTACCTTTCGGAATGTTAACGTTTTAACTTTATCAGTTGATATATGTAAGAAAGTCAATTTTTCTTTTCCTGGGGATTTTGGACCTCAGTGGAAATCTTTTAATGTTAGATAAATGTAATAAATTGTCTTATCTTGACAACGTGAGAGTAAAAACTTATTTGGTTGTATTCTTAAACAAGTAACATAATGATTTGAACAATATTTTACCAGCCAGCATAAAATATGATAAACAAGATCAACAAGGAAAGACGGCGTTCAATGAACGCAACTACCACGCGACCCAGCAACAAAACTAAAGAAATAAGACTAGGGGCAAAGGGGAAGATACTTACCGTAGACGTGAAAACAACAAGGCGTAGAATGAAACAAACAAACAAACAAACAAAAGGTTAAAAAAATAAAACACCGAAATAATAATGTAGAAACTATAAATGTAAAGCCCAATGGCCATAACAAAGAACTCAATGTCCTAAAGGAAGACAGAGCAACAAGAAAATCACCTACAAGGGCCCGACGAAACAAGGCAGAAGACGAACATTAAGACAATTCAGCCCCAAAGGGCTTTAAGAACTGTCCATCATAGATTCTCCCTTGGTCCGTCAGATGTAATCAAAAGAGGAAAGAGTAGTGTCTAACTGTAAAAGGGTTGAACACTAAGCATGCAGTATGTCTTAAAATAGTAGGGTCATTATCTCTTTTTATAAAGACACTTTAGTACTTTGAGGGCAATCTCTTGTTCAAATGTCGTTAATTTATCAAAATATAGGACTCTCTGCCATTCAGATAGCGTCATGTTTGGTACGTACATGTTCTTATGGTTATCTAATAAATGAGAACAAGTTTCGTGCCAGTAGATGGGACAAGAGCGCAATTAACAACAGAATGATTGCAATTACGTTAGGTAATATTTTCATTTTTTTTTTTTTTGTTGTTTGTTGTTTGTTTTTGTTATTGTTGTTCTTGTTTTATAGCTTTTATATGAATTAACGAAAGTGAAAATAGCAAAACACTCGTTAAAATGGACATAAAATATTTTAAACATAGCTTTCTACAATGGGGAATATGACCAACAAGCACTGACAGTATGGCAACAAAAGTTGTTTTTTTTAAGGAAACGCTATCTATATAAGGGTTATTATTAAGGTTGAAAATAACTTATACGGATAAAGTACAACATCTGCAGAGCAAGGCCCAATAGAAGACAAAGAAATGTAAATAATGCTCTTGCATGTCGTCTATGATGTGTGTCAGGTACCAGCTTATCAGTCGGTCAAACTCGTCCGAAAGATATGATTTTTTATTTTGGCAGCAACACCTTTTTTTCTTCATGATGTGTACAATGCTCGCAATATGTATCTGAAATAACATCATTCTGTTCAAGTTAACGCTTTACTGAGTGCATATGGGTCCGCAATTAAAGTCACCATTAGCTGCTACTTATTCAATACGCTACAAACCAAAATAATTCGCTTGTGTAATGTATTTGTAAATTTCCTTCAAAAGAATGTAAAATGACCGGAATAATATTAAAAATTATATATTTTAGGTTTTTCGATATACCTGCTGCTTTCCTTTCCAAAGACATCTGGTAAGAATCTATATACTTCGTTGTATCGCTTGTATCAATTTCGGTCCCATAATAAAGTGTTGTAAATTGCTCAGATCACGTAGTAAAAATGAAAACCTGTTTGCTGGAATACTTTTATCTAGCGCCACTTTTTCAGTTTTTTAACTTTAAGCAGAACGCTAGCTGTTTTCGATAAAAAAAATGAAAATAGGTATGTATATTAATAACCAAATGAAAGTGTGTGTTAAATTATAAACAACCTCTTCTTCAGCGTATTAGTACACAAATTATTTAACCTAAATATTACAATATATTCTATATAAACAGGATGATAAATTGGGGCCATGGAGTGTTTTTACATCATGATAAATGTATGTAATTTAAAAGAATAGATGTTACTTATAGTAGAAATGAAGCTGAACTTTACTATAACTTTAACACAGTAGCATATTATAACAATATAACAAAGCATATTCAGTGTACTTCATTATAAAACATTTACTTTAGACGCCTTGCAGTGTTACAATTGTACCGACATTGCTGACGTTGATGAATGTCTCACAGTGACAGAATGCCATGCCGGTCAGGTAAATATCTATCAGTAGCATAATACCATATTGGTCAAAGAAATGTACAAGTTTGCATGATATAATACTATTCTGGTAAATGTCGTCAATTTACTGAATAAGGGTAAGGCAAATATTCTAGACTGAGGGTCAGATTATTGTCAACAAAAGGCAATTGTTATATTTAATAATCAGACAGATACCTTTAGTTTGTCAATAAAAGATAAAATTCAAGCCGGGCACATACAGAATCCAAGGTTAGAAAGAAATTCTCTACGCCCAAATTGAGATCTCGGGTATTCATTGACCAATTAAATTCCTGAGATTTCAGACATAACACATTTTTTATAACCTCGAGGCCAGGTCTGCCATCGGCAACTGGTAAATGGAATGTTAGGGCTGTGTTAACAGCGGGTCATCTTTTGTTAAATGAAAGACAGGCAATAACATTTGTTTTATCGGAAAAGGTCGGTAAATAAAAGTAGAATTTGTCATATTATTAAGTAATATTTAGTAAATATAGAATAAGCTCTACCGTTAAAGTATTTGTAGAATTTGCCATATATGGGCGTTTCATTACGTTGTTAAATTATCTAAACATTTGCTTACTATACACACTATGTCGATGTAAAAACTGTGATTTTACAAAAAAATTGCTTTGTAATTTTATAGTCTTGTCACATAGAAGTAAAATCAACAGGACGAAGAAGCACCCTCGGATGTACAGACAATCAGGTAGGCAAGAGATATCCCTAAAACAATTTTTTACAAAATTAGCAAAATTCTAAAATTTGGTTCATATAAAACTAGTGTATAGCAAAATAAGTGACATAATTTTCTATAAAATGTCGTTCTCCTCTTAGAAAATGTATAATCTTAGTTGTTCTAAACCAACAATATGAATATAAGATATTTGTTCAAATTACTCGAAATTAGTAAAATTTTATCAATTTGCAACAATCGCAGAATCAAACTGAACAGGACATATCTAGATACCAATATGCCTGTATTGTCCACTTTTGTAGTTTATTATCTATAAGTCATATTTCCATTTTACAGTTATGTGGAGTAAGTGCCAGTGGTGCCGGAAATTTGATCGGTCGACAGATAAATGGGAGACAAACTTTGGACTGCCATGAATGTTGTAGTAAAGATAGATGCAATAAAAATCTGTGTGCACATTTGACACGTAAGCTCTTCCTTTCAAACTGAACAATGAAAAAACGAACAGAACATTCGTTTTTCTTAACATTAAATTCTGAAAGGGTCAAGAAATGATATCATCCTATCACGTGACAAAAAATCCAAAATCAACTAACATTACACATTCGAACACTGCCAAAAGGAGGCAAAAACAATTAATGGGGTTTTAAAGATATCACCCAGCATTACCGATATAAGCCGATATTTACTGAGTTTTAGTTATGAAAGAGTCCATTGCCTACATACGGAATAGTTGAAAATACGGTGATAACACTATTAGGGTGGCAACTATTTATATTTCAGCCGGAGCATGTATTGATGATGTGAAAGTGGATTGTGCTTTTCTAAATAGCTTTTTCATTATTTGTAAGGATATTCATCGAGCCAAGTTAATCTGTCCAAAATTCTGCTCACTGTGTTCACTTGGTAAGCTTAACCATTTGACTTACTGCACTTGTTTTTTCCGGTAACAAATCATAATCAATGTAGTTAATTATTTCTCAGGTTTTAATTTCGAGACTTATTTTTGAGTGGCTGTTTGTATATGAGAAGCTTTTCGATGCGATAAAACTCTTTCAAAATATCTGTTTTCTTTTATCAATAACCAAGATTCAAATGAACTATACATACTATGTATAAGTAGACACAAATATTCGTTACTAGGCCATGCAGGCATAAATGGAAATTATTTGCATTCAACGTGTTTTGACTTGCTGTTGTTCAGTAATACTCTCCAAGATCACAATATTTGATTTTCATTCATTTGGCATATTCCATCTTATCACTTTTATCCTTTTAAACAGTGGATGGGAACTGGGCAACTTGGTCTCCGTGGTCTACATGTGACGTCACCTGTGAAAATGGGACACAGACAAGAACAAGACAATGTTCCGATCCTCCTCCAGCAAATGGCGGACTTGATTGCGCCGGAACACGCACTGATATAAAGACATGCTTAAAACAACTTTGTCCAGGTATGAATTCAGCATGACAATGACATACTGATAAACATGTTAAGTATTGCGTACTCTAAATCAATTACAAATTATTATATCTTATCCGAAATCAAAAACTAATTAATCTGAAAACAATATTGAGTGTTTATCTTTATTTTTGTCATGATCTAGACAAAATGGATACACTTGCGTTTCACATTCTCATGCTTTAACAGGAGATGATGATGAATGTTGTAAAGCTTGTTAAAAATTTCATTCTTCAATGCCATGATCTTGCAGACCGTTTTTACTCGGTTCCAACCAAAAACTTTGTCGATTACTTAAGCAAATATACTTGTATTCTAAGACTTTATTTACTCATTTTATAAGCAATAATTCACTTCAGACTTGATAATCACGTTTTAAGAATTCGGTATACGGCGCGGTATAACAAGAAATGTGTCAATGTGCCGTTTAACTCAAACAAGCAAATAAATAGTCTATATAAAATATATATGAGGTATTAAAGACACTTTCATTATGAATAGCTTATATTTTTCAAAGTACATGGTGGATGGACAAAATGGTCAAGCTGGGACGCGTGTTCTGTAACATGTGGTGTAGGCATAAAAAGACGACATCGTAATTGCTCGAACCCGATACCAGACAGAAACGGACTACAATGTTTCGGCGATACATTAGATGATAGAATATGCTTACCCGGTCCATGCGCAAGTAGGTTTATCTACACATTAGATGATAGAATATGCTTACTGGGTCCATGCGCAAGTAGGTTTCCTAAAATTGCTTCTGTTTGTCATGATTTTAATCATGTATGTTTATTAATTGTTCGATAGCTTAATTTTCTTCTTAAAATCTAAATTTAAAGAAATTGAAAAGCAATTCAGTGACACGCATCTAAAATCAATACCAGTAGCTTTTTAATGTTTTTGGATTGTTATGGAATCTTTATCGTTTAAATTTACATAACTCATAAATCATCACTTAAAAATTTCACTGTAGCATATAACTAAAGAATACATGTAAAATGATCTAAAACTAAACATTTTTGAAAAATAATTGAAAAAGAAAAACATAATAAAATTAAAGTCAGGCAATGCAATGCGGAAATTTTCTGGATATTTTTCTTGGTTTTGGGCTTTAGGCCTTATATTAACGAAGCCCCACCAAGCTAGTTCAAAATTGATTTTTTTCACAATGGTCCCGAGAATATTGAGTGTGTGGTTTGTTTGTTTGTTTCTTAATTTGAAAATTTTCGGGGGAGCATATAGTCGTCTGTTTGTCCATCGTCCTTCCGTCTGTCAGTCCGTCCGTATGTCCCGAATTTGTGTCCGGTCCATAACTTCGTTATTTGAAGTCGGATTTTACAACTATTTCACAGAAATAATCACTATATTGAGACAACGTGTTGCGAGCAAATTTGGATCGCTACCTTGAAGGTCAATGTCACAGCATGACCTTGAAGCAAAATCATGTCCGGCCCATAACTTCGTTATTCGAAGTCGGATTTTACAACTAATTCACAGAAATGATCGTCATATTGAGACGACGTGTCGCGCGCAATATTTGGGTGGCTTCCTTGAAAGTCAATGTCACAGCATGACCTTGCAGCAAAATCGTGTCCAGCCCATAACTTCGTTATTTGAAGTCGGACTTTACAACTATTTCACAGAAATGGTCACCATATTGAGACGACGTGTCGCGAGCAACATTTGGGTTGCTTTTACACTTTGAATTTTGTCTGTGACATAACTCTGACATTACAAGAGGTATACCTTCTTGTGTCCAAAACTTATTCAGGAAGCATCACCCGGTTCAACCGGCTCTTGTTTTACAAAAATTACTACATAATAAATACGGAAAGAACAAATCGCCGGTATAAGAAACGACCATGCCACGAGGAAATGTACAGGAGTTGTACTTGTGTTAGGGCTTGGGCCATATATTTCTGTAAAGACATCAGACAAATGATTTCAGGGTTAACTCGAGAATATGCTGTTTTTATGAAACATATACAGTCCGAAAAACGACCATTTTACTTCTGGACATTCTATTTGGGTTAAGGCTTAGGATCTTATATTACTGCAAGGAAGACCCACCAAATTTGTACAAAATCGAATCTGCATCGGAATCAGAAAACTGTTTTTCACGGTTTTCTCGAGAATATTGTGATTTTTCTTCGAAATTTTCTACAGTTTATATACATAAAGAACAAATCGCCAGTTTTAAATACGACCATGCAGTCAAAACAGTCTAAAATCGAATTTGTCCTCTTAATGGGCCCATAATGCCTCATTTATAAAACGCTATCAATTATATTTCTAAAAAAAAGGATATCTTATCAAAAGGTTTTCCGTTTGCCATCTTTGCTTCTTTTGCTTTTTTGTCAATTGGTATAATTATAGTAAATAAGTATTTTGTATGGAAGTCAAAATACCACGTTGTTTACAGTTTGCTACCTTTATGAAAACATTACTGCACATTAAGCGCTACGTTCTTCAGCAGCTAAATATCTTACATGCTCTTAATCCATTATCAAAACATCATTAACAACATGTGTGAGAGTTCTAATGAATTAAAAAGATATGGATTTCTGGGGCATATTGTTCCTTTAAGCACACATCTCAGTCTCGTAGACATTTTTGATATTTCCGCCCAAACTATATGTGCCTGCTCTATTCCTGCATCATTGTCTGCTCCCGGTAGGTGTCGCTGTTGCAGTTCTCTTGCACATGCACGTATTCAAAGCGCCTATTAACGTTATTTATCATGAAATAACATTAAAAATTTAGGATAATGTGTATGTTTTACTAAAAAATCTTACATTATGCAATGTGAAGATTATATTACTAGCGTTAATATAAAGGAAGAAGTTAGGCCCCACATACGTATGCGCTCTTGGAATTGCATCTCTACGATCTGACGTTTACAGAAAAAAAAGATTTTATAATTTAACACTGTAAATGATCATATAATCTTAAAATCATACACTGTAAAAGAATACAGTATGGTTTCTTTCAGTGTTTCGTGAACACCACAGTTGCTTCTGCGTGGGTAATTACATGTACTGGCTGATATCCTTTCAATATAATGAGATGCAAAATCATTTGAAAAATATTACCACATCGTTTATTTAATTAATTTTCTCAATATTTAAAGAAACAATAAAATTGCACAGTTGATTTTTATACATAAGACGTTTGGTGTGTTTAAGATGGGGTGGACTGCCTGGGGACAATGGAGCGCCTGTTCAGTGACGTGTGCAATCTCTTACGCAATGATTTCCCCTTATCAATACAGAGATCTCTGCCATCACAAACATTGAAATATCAATATTTTGATATTTATATTTGTTAGCTTTTTAATTTATTTTTTAGTTTTTTTGTATACTTTTGATAATTTTTTGATAAAATATAACGGACATAGGTACAACAAGTTAAAAATAAAACAGAAAAAAAAAATGACGTTAGATTTTCTATGTAACGGTCGATATCATATTTGAATTTCGACGTTACGTCATGTGACTTTCATTATCATGTGACGTCTGTGAAGGCAGTGATTACAATTCTGCCAAGGGAGGTAATCAGTGTGAGGAGTTTGTGACATGTGGGGATGGTTTAAAGTCTAGATCACGTACCTGCACAAACCCACCACCGTCAATAAATGGTCGATATTGTGAAAACGAATAAGACTTTCAGAACTTTAAAACAGGTAGAAGAACAGCAAATGACTTATGACAGTTATTAGTAATTCTTTTGAAAATAATAAGAATAATTCAAAAACAGTTTGCAAATCCCTTTAAGAATTGGGTGACCATGTAAAAGGCAGGTCATCTATTAGTAGTAGCATATTCATATACATGAAAATAAGTTTCAATTTGGGCAAGAAGAGGTTTTATTTTATCGAATAAAGGTCAGCTTGTGGCATGATTTTATTGGATCTTCAAAGGTCTTTGATACAGTGGACCATTCCTTCCTTTTCATGAAAATATAAGCCTAAGCTCTGATATTCAACATTCGATTAGGTCATATATTTTATACAGACAAAGAAATTGTGGACGTATATTACCTTTCTCTTCAATGAGTTACTTGTAATGTTATTTTAAAGATCCTGTATGTTATAATTGAGGTTGTTACCTCACTTATATATATGTAAATTATTATGCTGATAAAACAATTTCCAAACATCGAACAATATGTAAAATATGTACTGCAAATATTTGTGCATATTATGTGACGATTGTTCTCTTCTGCCTAGATTCCATAATGATACATTGTATTAGTTGGTTTTGTACCTAAATTGTCGGTAAATTTAATTGATATCTTGTGTTTATAATTAGAGTTTGATCTTCTATAAATAAGTCAAAAATACATAAATAAACCCTAATTAGATTTAACAACTTATTCATAACAAGTATTTGAAAAAACGGGCATATTTTATCATTTGTAAAATATCAGAACAATTCGAACTCAATACTATTCGCACCAATATTCGACCCGGCATCAATATCTTTTGGGTGCTTGATTACCTCAACTTCAGTAAACGATTGTTAAATAAAACTACATCATTGGGTATAAATAGAGCTCAAAGCTGCGAACGACAGTCCGTGACTGAGTGGTTAAAGTCGCTGACTTGAGATCACAGGTCCCTCACCGCTGTAGGTTCGATCCTCACTCGGGTCGAAATATTTCATGTGAGGAAGCCATCCAGCAATAATGCCCGGAGGGGCACCTGGGGTCTTCCTCCACCAATAAAGCTGGAAAAAATCGACGAAAAATCTCCGCGGGACGCTCTAGGATGGCCCGACTTGAGTGTACGGTCGCCAATATGGGCTTTCCGGCGGCGACCTTAAATAACCGCATCAAAAAAAAAAAAAAAGAACGACGGTCAGTCTCTTTCCAACTGCCGAAGTGTCAACATCACAGAATTAAATAATTAATATTTTAGATTAATTACTTGGAATCATGCACTATTTACGAAGTAAATCAATTATCAATTTAACATTGCGTTAGGTGTGATTGTTAATACTAATTAAAAGTATTGAAAACCCGAGATGCAAGTGATAAATAGCCTAAAAAGTATCACAGCAACTTTGTACCAAGTTCAAAGAGAACTTATTAAAGCAAATTACTGTTATAAACATTAGTTAATTAAACTTGATTCTAAAGTTTGAAAAAATCATTTTAAAATCATATGTAACCAATCAACTGGCAATATAGCCGTAAGAAAAAATATAAATAAAACAGCTAGCCGGTGCACGTTACAATTATATGTAAAAAAATCATTAAAATATATGCATTCATTATTTCCTATTAAAAATTTGACTTAGACTTTATAGAAAGTATATTTCTAATTACCTACCTTTATTTACATGAAATGTTAAATTCGGTATTATCTTTATAAATAATGCTTTTGGAACTTACAATATTGATAAATCTTAATTTGGGCATCATATTTATAATATAAAACCATAAAAAATAATGTTACATGATCTTTAACATATGTGAATGACGTGCTTCGGTAATTTGCAATAAGTACATCAATATGCGGACAAACTACCGTTTTCTATAACAACCGAAGCCAAGTTGTATAATCTTAAATTGTCAGTCAAAAGTTATTGTCTTAATATGTAACAATCGTGGTCATCATAATATGCGCAATTTCAAACATTTTAATGCTATTGCGTACTACTAAAATCAATCTTATCTAAGGTTATTAGGTAAGAGCGTGCGTCAACGTGATATATATAGTCCTTTGAGTGATAGGCATGGTCGAGGGACATGTTCTCGTGACAGAGTTCTATGTGTTGGAAATATTCGTATCGTCCTCTTACCCTGACTTACATAACGGTTATATTAAGAGATAACAAGATTGTTAGTACCGTTACAAAATCTAGGAGCACTTGGTATGTGAACTGGCAGTCATTTGAATAATAATTATACTCAATATTATAAAAGTGTATTTTGATATAATTAAATGCTATGATAAATACTTATTACTACAAAAAAAAAACATAATAAAACAATAAGAATAAAAAAATAAGTAAGAAAGAAAAGCAAAAAATATGATAAACAAGATCAACAAGGAAAGGCGGCGTTCAATGAACGCAACCCCCATATGACCCAGCAACACTTATGTTATTCGACTGAATCTCTTCAGTATATTTAATTTTTTCCTTTCTTGAAGAAAACTTGTCTGTATTTCTGTCGGCAATCCAATTTCGTAATAAATTGCACAGAATTCCGTGCATTTAATGAAATAATAAGCTTTATTACAAAAAGGTTATTATCGAACTGGGTTTGAGATTTCTACATGTCCTACAGGTTGTAAGATCGAGACCTTGCAGGTCCATGTTTTTCTTATTTATTAATATTGTCAACCTTATTAAAGCGTATTGTTTTTATGGTGTTGTTTTTGTATTAAGATGTTTTGCACTAGTCTTATTTTGGTAAAGTCTATAGCTATTCTTTTTAGATAACATCGTTTAAGAATTAATAACTCAAATTCAATCTGATTAAAATAATCGACAGTTCAATACCATAAAATGCAACACAAAACGTGACGAAAAGGTGTTTTTTGTATGTTCACATTCGTGTCTACATTTTTCAAGCACTTTGCCATTTCCATTAAAATGTTCTGCAAAAAAAGGGAAATAGAAAAACAAATGGAAAAAGTAAGGCTCAAAACAGACCTCTCCTAACATAAAAGGGACTCCCCTGTTGTTTTTTGACATAATGGAACTGCAAATATTTTTCCGAGATTTATGTACAATTTGATTACGGTCTGGGCAAATAACTTGTATGCATTTTTTTAGATCATTCCCGCAACCCGTTTTTTTTCCAGAAAAAACATAATTTTATTATGCAAAAGCACGCGGAAATGAAAAGCGTTGCATTGCAATGGGACTCACAAAAAATCAATAATCAGTTTAAGGTGACAACGGAGTCAATTATCACTGAAAATACCTAAAATGAGATTTTTTGCTTAGTAGATGTATCAACCTTTTCTGAACACATTCGTGATTTAATTTTGGAAGCAGTTAGTCCAAAAAATGTTTTTTAAACGTTTTAAAACGGCACTTATTTCATTTTTATCTGCTATTCGCGTAACCTGTCAATTATCGATAACGCTCCGTCCCCTATTGAGGCATCAATGAGGGAAATCGGTAGTTCCATATATCCGTTAATTACCGCTCCATACTACTCGTAATACATGTATCATACAAATACTGTACATCTATTGTGAATATCTCAACATCATATCGTCTACCTTTTATTTAGCTTTTTTTTTATTAATTAAGAAAGTGTCGACAAATGTACGTAATATAATGTATGTAAGCATAGAGGCAAATCGCACGACCACAGGATTGATTAAAAATGTAGTTGCCACTATGTGTGAAATAATAACTTGTTTGTCCCGTTAATCTGATATATATTACATTGAGTTTATGGACTTTTGTACGGATTCAAAGGCTTGCTTTACATTCAACCTCGTTTTCTAACAATGTAACATTTTTTATGTGAACGCAGGATATGACATGTGGTAAGGGGTCCCTGACAAATATCTAAACCATTTTTACGATTGTCTAAGGATAATTATTTCTCTATGAACCAATAAAAAAGATATTCAAATATATTATCAGTAAATGCTTTGAATAAACTGTTCGCCAGTAAATCGAACACAGTACTTATAAACCTGGGACAAAGTATGAAATTTATTGTATATCCCAGTAGAAACTGGATCTCTATGCCGTGCATAGATGATATTCATGATAATAGCATTCAAGAAGGTCAGATCATAATGATCGAGTAATACCTTTTATTTCTATTAAAATATGTGAAGCATTTTTATCAATTTGGTGGAAAAAATATATAATATCCCATTCTTTTTTGTTCATCTATCATGGACTTTAAACGACTGTCAGAAGCTCAGCTTTTTTGTTATTTTAATTTGTATTTTAACGGAATTTCATACACGAATACACAGGCACAGTGACACTGGTATGATATAATAATAATAATAAAACTTCAAAAGTGAAACAATTAAATACCCCGCTAGCGGTGCGCACATGCGTTCCATTCCCCCTCCCCCAACGAGTGCCTCAAATTTTACCGATAGACACGTGACATTTGCGCCAAATACCAGACGGACAGAAAATCACTTTAAGATTTGAAGAAATTTCTGCTATAAACTGATATTAATCAGCAGCTTTATAACTGGTCGGTCATAAAATGTTGAGTATGTTACCGCAACTTGTGACCCTCTCTGGTGCGATATTTGTGTGTTATGCAATTAATAAGAGTGGAATGTAGGGGTCAGAGAGACAACAGCCGATTTATGACACTTCGTTTGATGCGGGTCGGACTAACTTTGAATCGGCATAACTTTTTTAATAATCAAGCAATTGACCTTTAAACTATGACGTTTTAAAACCATTAGTCATAATCATATGAATTTCCATATTAAAGATATACTATGCTCATCCTTGCGTAAAATATTTTTATCATAAAAGTTTATTGAAATCTATGTAATTCTTACCGAATATGTCCAATTTGAATAAAAGAATGAATAAATTATATATCGGAAGCAGCGTATCCTATAACAGGTCAAGTCAAAGTGGTCTTTTCTATAAAAAAAACTGCCAGTTCCTTTTTAATGACACTATATATTCATATTGTAACCACCTATAGCGTGTAGAATTTCAAACACAACATATATACTTTGTGTGAAGTTAAAACATATTTACTTTATATTAAAGAGGTAGCAATTATAGGCATTTTCAAATACGAAATTTGAGCATAGTATATACGTAACTAAAGGAAGAACCGAAGTGGGATCGAATGTTTAAACGAGTTCTATAATGTATTCATTTTTCACAAGTCAATAAAATCAGACTATATCACTACAACATATCAAAATGTGTAAACTTTTCCTTTGATGAAGAATTTAGAAATAAGGATATATTTATAGACTTGAAAAAAATCATAAATTCATTTACTTGTCCAAATGTTCCCTAACTGACGACATTTTTAACTAATCCACGGATTCTGATGAATAACGTCAGAAAAGATAACATATTAGTCTTTAAAAACAGACATTGACGATTTTCGTATAGATTCGGTGGAATCTTTTCCGGAAAGTAACGTTTCGTGAAAATAAATGAGTCAAGTCAAAGTGACGGAAAATAAAATTTTTTGCATGAAAGGTGTAAAGATCGATTATCAAAGTTTTAAGATATCTACCCTGTCCAGGCACAGAGACTCAGATTTCAAACCGTGACCCCTCTTTGCTTAGCCGTTGTTAGTTTTCAATAACTTTTAACATTGTAACAGGTGCGAGACTTCTCTCTCGGTCATAAACATGGTTAAATTCAATTTTAAAATTAATAAAAAAGGTTCCATTCTCCATCAAGTTTAATTAGTACTTCAAGTCTCCAGTACTTTGTTGAGACCTGGTGGTATCTGGCATTTTTTACTGGTCTGAAAATTTTCATCATTAAGATTGATGCCCCATCCGAGTTAAAAAGTCGCAGTTTTTTTATAGACATTGACGGGGACGGATCAAGGCGGGGCTGTGTTTTACCCCAAGTGTCTCTTGGTCCGGGAACTCTTTGACTACATGTAACAACAAGAACGTTTATCTTATAAGTAAAAGAAAATATTGGGTTGTATGACCCTAAATAGTCGGTTGTTTGCATATATAACCTAAGCCCCTATATGACATTACTGCAAATTAAAAATGGAAAAGACGTTGTATCTAGATTATTGACCTTTATGCACTGGAGACAATACTAAATGTCAAACAGATGACGACATAAGTCTTATCAATTGTGTTATCATGCTTACTTTAACCGCCTGTTAAATTAGGACAATTGCAAAAGGACAGAAACAGTGTCATTAGACGGAATGACGTTCAGGAGCAGAATGATTTTTCGTCTGCTTTGTAAGTATTTCATTTTATTTTATTTACAAGTACAAACAATACACGCTTTCTAAGGTACATTTAAAGAGTGATGTGATCATTATAATAATATTTTTGGGTGTTTCCGCACAATATTTTCCTAAAAAAATTTACAACATTACTAGTAGTGACTTATACGTACACTCAGATTTTTTCTTGGTAGTAATTTTCACGTATATTTATCATTTTGGTCAACACTTTGTCGTTTTACCGGCTGCATTTCGTGTTTAGAAAACGAAAGATCGATGGAACATCTCCGGTGCACGTCCGTACCTAAAATAAGCTAGAAAATACCAAAAATGAGGTAGGAAATACCAAAAAATGAGGTACGAAATACCAAAAATGAGGTAGGAAAGGGACTTGACCTGTCTGACCTGTAAATCCGTACAAAGTCGACAGGTAAATATCGCCGTGTTAGGCTTAAAGCGTTGTCAAAAAAAGTGAAAAATATATATGAATACTCGTATATAAAACATAAAAAATGGAATATCCTAATAAATGATCAGACTTTAATCTTTACATAAACGTTATTTTTTATTCTTTTTAGGGGTTGCCTTAGTTTTCCAACTTTACATTACTGGAACAGCGGGTTAGTATCTATTTCAAAATTCAAAAATGTTACACATTGGCTCAAGTAAGAACTGCAAATGAACCAGGAAGTTGTAACCAATACCCTAAGACTGACGGAAAAGGCCGAAAAGTTGAGTTTCATAGCAACTTGTAGAGTCTACTACCTTCATGCTCAGTGTTTATATCAATCGCGGTTATCACCAATATCCTAAGACTTACTGAAAGGGCCGAAAAGTTTATGTTGCCATCACATATCAGTCTAATTAAAATATTTGCTTCATAATATGATACTTGCTAATATGTACCATGTTCAACCAATTACAAAACATACGCATCGCTTATTAATCAGTAAGTTTTCTTTTTTAGATTTTTATTGAAAAGTCAGTTAGATGAACTTTTTTTCTATTTATAAATTTGATATCGTAACCTTTTAGACTTCTTAATTATTTATATTTATCTATCATTCCAACGATTGTAGGTCTACAGTGTTACAACTGTTCTAACATATCCAATGTGGGCGAGTGTTTGACGATAACGGAATGTGGGGCAGGTCAGGTAAATGTGCTAAAAATGTGTCATTTAGCTTGTCAAAAAACCGGGACAGTCAGATAATAAAAGAATACTACTACTTATAAGAAGCAAGTCACCAGAGCACTGGTTTGTTCCAGAATGATAAATGGACCTCCCCCCCCCCCACCAGGACAGTTGCCACACAAACGTTTGCCACCTTTTTTTGCAATGGCGGTCATTTTCTCCTTTATATCTTTGTCGGGGGCGGACATTTGGCCCTATCCCCCTTAAAGCACAAACGCTTGGGGTCAGATCCTGTCCCCAACTTGATACGCCCCTTTAAACAAAACTCTTCATCAAAACTATTTTTATATTTAAACGCGAATGGGACATCTATTACAACGATAAAACTGGTTTTCAAACAATGTTTAAATATATGAAAAAATACCATATACCATCAAGTCTCAATAAAGTAATAAAACCTTAGAAATCATTATTAACCGTAGCCGAGTGGTTAAGGTCGTTGACTTCATACCACTTGCCCCTCATTGCTGTGGGTTCGAATCCCGACAGGGACTTTGGTTTCTTACATGTGAGGAAGCTATTCAGCTAGTTTACGGAACGTCGGTGGTTCTACTCAGGTGCCCGTTCGTGTCTGAAATAATGCACGGAAGAATACCTGAGGTCTTCCTCCACCAGTAAAAGCTGGAACGTTGCGATATGACCTATACTGTGTCGATGTGACGTAAAACCCAAAACAAACAAAACAAAAATCATTATTGAATAAACCTTACCGTGACTTTTCCGTTGTAAATCAATAGAATATCGAAATATCTTCTGGATGCAATCAGAATAAACATTTATATATCGCATTTGAATATGAAAAACAACATTTAATTAAAACCGAAAGTAAATTTTGTGTTCTGTCCAAGCAATACGAGAAGAGTTCCCGGCTCTGCGTGGAGCGATTGTCAAGCCGGTACACAAACGGTGTACATGCTTTCGACCACTCGAGCATTCTATCGTCATGTCCCGCATGTTAGCTGTCTGCGAACTCTCGCTTAAATAGAGGATATTTGTTTGTTTGTGTGTAAGATGAAATTTTATTTCATCGAGTGAGCTTTAAAAACAGTATTCTCACGAGTGGCGTAGCCACGAGTGAGAATACTGTTTTTAAAGTTCACGAGATGAAATAAAATTACATCTTACACAGCAAACAGACAAATTTTCTTTTTATTTTATGCTTAAAAACAAGTTAAAACGAAATTTCCATAATTTTAACGTTAATATTAAAATCTGTTTCCCCCATTGAGAGCCCCATTTAGACGGAATTTCTCATTTAAAACAAGAAGTCTTGAGCTGAAAAAAAAGTCCGCCAATCAAGGTTAAATGACGGTAATATTTATTCATTTTATCAAAAAATATGAATGATCGCTTGTTTTAATAATTAAAACAAACAATTCTTGTAGGAGAAAAAGTCCAACCATCCATCCATATTTCTGTTACTTACTGCGAATTTATATTAGACCTGGCTTTGTAAAATGTAAGCGGCAGCCATTTTTTAAAGTTGTGTATTTCATGGGAGGAAAATAATTGTGTAAGATTCAGAAGGATATAATTTGGATTTGTTAGTCATACACCTTTTTAAAAGAAAGAAAACTTATTTGAGGATTGTAACAGACAAAAAATAAGTGTTGACAGAAGTGAAAACATTCAGAAAAGGAGCTAGGAAATTGGAAAACTTTGAAGCTTGCTAAGGAACGCTGGGATGTTTTACTTATTTTACGAGTGATGGCTGTCAATGCTTTTCAATTTTTCATAAAGCATACGGCAGTTATTGCTCGTAGGATACTTTAATATGCCCAAATGTCATCAAGAGCAGTTTTGCATGGGGAAGGAATGTATTTTTCAGACTGTAAAAACGAACAAAAAAATTTTTAGGGACGAAATTTGGTGATTGGAATTTGAAGGAATAGAAGTAAGTTTTCTCTCTTTACTACTTTTGACATTTAAGTTAATTATGTATTTCAGCTTTGCTATTTCTTTTAACAGCCTGACATTGTCAGAATTGTCAGTAAAAATAAAATTGAGGTACTACATGGGGAAAATCTTAAAAAAGTAGTTTCGTCATTGAAAAAAGTGAAATTATATTTTGATAATTTTCACTGTGAAATTATCAAATATAATTTTCACGGATAAATCAGTAATCCACTGAAAAGCATAAAATAAAAGACATTTATTTTTAATAAAACTGTTACCAAGATGCACAGTGTGTTGTTTCCTAAGTTTTTTATTGCATATAATGTACAATATAAATATTTGAATTTGGTGGTCACATTGGGTCTCCCGAAAGTGACAATTTTGATAAAAGTTAAGTCGTGAGAGAATTATAGTGTTTGGTCCCGGACGAGAGCGCAGACATATGCTAGGCTTAGGTCGCGTATTGGTTGGACTGTTTACATTTTGGAGTCTGCAATCTTTACTTTATTGAGATTTGATGGTATTAGGTATTTTTTTCATATATATGTCCCATTCGCGTTTAAATATAAAAAAGTTTAGATAGAGTGTTAACAGGAGCGTATCACGTTGGGGGCGTGCAGGATCTGACCCCCCCCCCTTAAAGTTTTTAAGGGAGGACATTTGATTGTTTAGAGACGCAAATGTCATGGGGGCAACTGTCGGGGTAGTAAATGTCCTAGAATCATTCTAAAAAGCTACAAGACTAGTAATGTTTAAACTTAGAAGTCCAAAGGAAAAAATATTATTACCCATCGTTGTTAATACAAGTGTACCAGGTGACTAGGAGCTGATCGATGTGTTACATTTTTTCAATTGTTAAGAAATAATGACATGAAATCTTTTATTCCCAGTCGTGTTACATGGAGAAAATGTCATCTGGACAAACTGTTACCCTAGGATGTACAGATAACCAGGTAGTAGACAAACCTTTATCTTAATCTTTTTATTTTAATAGTGTTATCTGAAAATATATAAAAGGGAAGAAAACAAAAACAAAGAAAAACACAATGAAATTGAACGGGTGGGTTTGTGGTGGGATTCAAGATTTGAAATGTAAATTTAAGACTTTTTCATGAAAATAAACTAGTTTATCTTTATTTGTGGAGATTGAAAGACCGTTTCCAGAATTTGTTTTGCCTTATATATATATGACATATTCCAGTGTAAGTTGTCTCCCCTGATAACTCTTTTTAGGCCCTACTGGGGCGTTATAATTTGTAAGATTTAAATAAAAGATTTAATCCTTTGGCGGATAATTCGAATAGTATTCAAACATTACAACTTGAGAATAAAAGAAAAGAGAAATTTGTTTAAAAAATAGTAGTATTTATTAATAAAAAAGTAGTATTTATTAATAAAAACGTGTTGGCATGAAAACGGCCATACCTGGATAAAAGCATTTTAATTATTTAACCTACTGAAATGTTTATGTCTAATGAATAGTTAAAACTACTTTAAATGTTTTTACTATAACTGTTTTTGCCCCGGCAACGGTTGAAAAAACGTTATTTAACATACCAAAAAGCCCACAAGCAAAGTGAAACAATTGTGATTATCAATAAATTATATATAATTATACTTATTATATTGAATCATATTTCTTCTTTGAATCTGGAAAGAAATAAATCAATTATAGCGCGGACCTTGTTAAACTAAATAGACAAACTGCATTAAGTGCAAAAAGTGATAATTATTCTTTAATTATATCGGATTGGGTATTCTTGCATATCAGATAGGATTATCTACCGTTTACACCGATGCTAGAAAACTCTGTCTTACACCCCGTGTAAGACAAGTCGTGTGCTTTTAATGAGGTCATTGCCACGCGACTTTTATGAATGAATTGCGTTCTGAGGATGACGTCATTTTACCGTTATGAATGAAATTGTAATCTAATATAAAAACGGCGAAATGACGTCATCCTAAGCACATATTTCCCTTCTAAAACGACGTCATTTTAACGCGGTTCATTCATAAAGTGCGCTAAAATGACGTTGTTGTTTGGCACACGACTCATCTGATACCCTTATGCCAGATAAAATTTCTAGCATGGGTAAAACTCACGGAAACGCCAGTCTGCTATGCAAGAAAATAATGCACAACACGTCTGTTTTCTACGTCTATTCAAAACTTCTTACGTTTGATAATACAAAACATAGAAATTGACGTACTCTAACGTCACACATACGTTGGCGTCATTTAACGGCAAATGCATATGAGCGCAATTCCAGACAAATTATAATTCAAGGAGTGAGCATCAATCTTAAATAAATGAGCGCCTCATATTAACAAAATCTTAAAGGACATTCGAGATAAATTTATTTTTACGAGCAGCAATGTGGTGTGACACAAGGTGTGGCCGGAAGTTTAGTTGGTAGAGGTGTTAACAAACGACAACAATCCCAATGTCACGAGTGCTGCAGCATGGATAAATGCAATAAGAATCTTTGTTCTCACCTGAAACGTAAATATATTTCCTCAAAACAAAAATTTTAAATTATGTTTTTTTTCCACCAACCGTAGAAACAAATTATTTTATAAAAAACTGAATTAAATAAAATTATGTGTTATCATTTAATATCAGAACTTTTTATTTTAACACTAGTTGGTTTTATTTATTTTGTTGTTTTATGTCAAAAATAATTGTGGAGATTTTTGTATCAATTGATAAATAATTAATACTTTTTAAATTTTGCAAATTAAGAAATTTCGCTATGAAACATATTTAGATTAACGCAGAATGAGATTTCCTAGCTAAATCCAGATCATTTTTCACAGATATGTAAGAAAATATATAATTTTTGTAATGTTTGAGACCAATTTTTTTTAATGAAGAAAATATAATTACAGCTGGAACATGTATTGACGATGCTAAAGCTGACTGTGCATGGATGAACACATTTTTCAACATATGTCAAGATATTCATCACGCAAAATTAGTATGTCCTAAGTTCTGCGCGCTATGTTCATTGGGTAGGTATATAGTAGCCCTGACACGCCTTTTATAGCTCCCGAAATATAAATAGCTCTCTTAACCCTTTTAGCGCTGACCTTTTTTGTTACTCTCGGTGCTTGCACGTTGCAAATAAAGCACACGTCAGAGGCTTTGAAAAATATTCGAGATGGCGAAAATAAACAAAGACAAGAACTTATATCTGATGACCAGCTGCCGATGTCCTGACTTAAGCCGAAGGGAGTGTCTCTACAAAGTAAGCAGGTACGGTGCATGAGTCACTAGTACAGAGAGTGACATCTAAAACGACATACCCTTTACTTGGCACCATCATTCCTTTTAAGGGCTACTCCCTTTTCATATTGTCTAACGTACTTTTAGATTCTCATTGCCCGTCGTGCAATGACCGTCTTTTGGCTCAAAATTCATATATTTGGCTAATATTCTAAAGAAATTGCATATAGGTCAAAATTAACCCTTTAAGGACTTGACCGGTTACATGTCCATGGACCGGTCTCGACAGCAAAAACCTGCATTTAGTGCCTAAACCCATAACTGCATAAAAATGGCTGTTTTCATTGAAAAGTCTCCCGTTACAAGTTCAAAATGCTATAAAACTATAAAAACTTCTTCAATACTAATCAAACTTGGCACAAATGTTGAATGTACCGTTTGTTACAACATGCTCGGTCTTAAATTTCCTGTTACCATGGCAACGAGGGGACATCTCAAAATTGCCAAAAATCACATATTTTGCGTTGATTTTTTTCCATCAAAAATAATTTCAAAGTGCTGCAACTTCTCAATGGATTCAGATAGAGTCAAAGGCTTTTCAGCGTTGGTTACACGTTACCTTATGATCGACCTGGGGTCATTTTTAGCCTCTCACAAGTCCAAAATTTTCTTGGCAATGAGGGGGAATCAGAGAATTGCAAACATTCGATCTGAAAATATAATTTGAGCAAAAAAAGCAAAACAAATGAAAAGCATACAAACATAACTTTTTCACTTACTTTTAATTTAGTGGATGGAAACTGGGGAAGCTGGTCTCCATGGTCAATGTGTGATGTCACCTGTGAAAACGGGACTCAAACTCGAACAAGAACTTGCACGGATCCTGCCCCGGCACAAGGGGGTTTAGACTGTATCGGCTCTAACATATCTACTAAATCTTGCTCAAAGGAACTTTGCCCAGGTAGGCATTTTGTAAATGTTTTTCTCAAAAGTTCATGTAGTATTCAATGAATGTTTCATGTCATTTTATTTATTAATAAAATCGTTGTTATAAATCACTTATCACTGGATCACTTATAGCTATATACATGTATACTTAATTTGATACTTAACTTGGTTCCACAACCAAGAAGGATTAGATTCATTGTTATTTGAAAGTAAAGAGCACTTATAGAAATATAGATATCCGTTTATACTTAATCCTTTTTTTTCTACTAATATTGTACGATATTTGATATATATCTGTAAAAAGGCATAAAACCATTCCGCAAATTATTTTAGTGCATGGTGGATGGACTGCATGGTCGAGCTGGGACGCGTGTTCTGTAACATGTGGTGTAGGCATAGAAAGACGACATCGTAATTGCTCGAACCCGATACCCGACAGAAACGGACTTCAATGTTTTGGCGACACTTTAGATGTACAGATGTGCTTTCCGGGTCCATGTGCAAGTAAGTTTAATAAATTGCTTCAGTTTGTCATAACATTTAGCATGGACGTTTATAAGATATTATATTGCAGCACCTAGAATTTTTTTAAAGGAACAATCAAAAATCCAATTTTGTCCTCTTTAACGGCCCATTAGGCATCATTTGTGCTATCGATTTTCTGTAACCTCAAGAGAGTAGTGGCGACATATAGGAGTCACTTCTCCGTCTTGTCTCCGTCCGTTCGTCACAGAACATGTCCGGGCTACTCCTCAAAAGTACTGGTGCAACTTTATCCAACTTTACAGGAATGATTAGTAATGATATAGTCAGCATTTTCAGGTTCAATGATTTTTGACAAAGTTATGACCCTTTTAATAATTCTTGTCCGGACTACTCCTCTTATACTACTAATTGCAATTTCAGTAAAACTTTACATGATTGATCTGCACGTATTTGCGCATATTACACGGATATTCTGCTTGAGTGATTTTGAAAAGAGCTATGACCCTTGAAAAAAATGTGTCTTTTTGTGTTGCCACCTACACAAAAGCTTGTATTGACTTCTCTACACAATTTCATCCATGCTTTACAGGAATGATTTTAACTTGGTGTAGTCGTGCCTATCATCGGTATTCTCCGGTTCAATGATTTTTGTCAGTCATGGCCATTTAATTATTTTTATTTTTAAAATTTGTCCGGACGACTCCTCATAAACCACTAATGCAATTTCAATCAAACTTTACATGAATGATTGGTATATAAAGTACTTGTTCATAATGCATAAGTTTTATGTTTGAATTATGTTGGCGTATAAAACGAGTTTTGGCTTGATTAATTTATGTGCTTTGTGTCTCCTGCTACACAGCTATAGCTGCAACGTGCAATTGGCTATCATGAGTTGACACATGTGATCACTGATTTTTTCTCATTTTTTATTGAAATATCTTGCAACAGATTAGAATATTACTCATTTGCCATATACATGAATTATCTTTTTCTTTTGTTTTTCTGTCATTGGTATAATTATAGTAAATTAGTATTTTGTACAGAGGGATGATCCAGAATTACCCGGTATTTGTTTATAATTTTGACAAATGTCATGTTTTCTTCATTATTTTTGTACCAGCGTAAAATTTGATTTTTTATCTTTTTAGTCATTTGAACATTGGATTATTATGCAATCAAGTTTGAAAATTTCTAGTTGCGACGTTTATTATTTCAAAAACGTCGTCATTAAGGCATCCGGAAAGCGGCACTTTCATAAACATTTGTTGACAGTCCGAATAGTATACATTATAAACATCTAATATGACAAAAGAAACCAGACACAAGTATCTTGAAAGTCAAAAAACAGGATTTTAGAAGTATAGACATTCTTTTTAGATTGTTGGACTTATCTTAAAGATAATATACTACTCAACTTTTGCTAAGCACCATACGCTATTTTTTATATATTATCACCAGTATTAAACATATTTCTTTCCAATTTTTGAAAATTCTGATGTTTAAGATAGTCCCCTGACATGAATCTGTGTTGACTTATCCGTTACAACTCGTCTAGGTAGCATTGAAAGCATGCACCCCAATATTTTCATGTTTTTGATTGAGTGTACAATCTCATGTCTTTCGTTATACGGCGACATTACCGGCATATTGTCATTCAGTAGCTTACATATCTTACATCTGTCACTTCGATATGTTGAATGCTAACATTAGGCAGCATTTGAGAGAAGCAGAGTTATGGAGGGCTGTAGGGATGGTGCAGCAGGGGGCGACATTTTGCCAGGTTGGTGCGGCGCTTGGTGTACACCACACCGTCATCACCAGAGCCTGGCAAAGATACCGGCTACATGGTACACTCGCCAGGAGGCATGCTGTAGGTCGGAAAAAGGTCACAAGACCAGCCCAGAATCGTATCTAGGTTTGTTCGTAAAGGCACGTCGTGCAAGGTTTTCGACAGCAGCTTCTCTTCGAAATCATCTTGCTAATGCTTCCACGAAGACGGTACGTAGATGGCTGCTTGAAGGTAATTTTTAGGTCCAGAATACCTTGTATAGGTATCCCTTGACGGATCGACATCGCCAGGCCCGTTTGGAATGGACCATGGAGCTTACACGGAGAACCATACAACACTGGTGACACGTTCTGTTCACTGATGAGTTCAGGTTCTGCCTTGACTTCACAGATAGGCATGCTAGATTCTGGAGAAGACGAGGAGAACGGTTTCAGGCTACAAATATTGCTGAGAATGACCGCTACGGAGGTGGTCAGATTTGGTGTGAGGAGGCATCAGCTGGGATGGACGAACCTACCTGGATGTGTTAATGTGAGGCAGGTCAGCGATACATATACGACATCTTAGACAACCAGGCTTGGTTGTATGCTGGATCAGTCGGCGATCAGTCCGTTCTAATGGACAATAATGCTCGCCCCTATGGGATCAGGGTGATCCAGGACGACCTAGAGAGTGAGTCTTTTGAGCGCATGGACTGACCAGCTCGCTCGTCTGACTTAAATCCAATAAACTGCAGGTTAGAATTTCAACTCGTCGGCTGCAACCCAGAACCACCCTGGAGCTTGGAGCCATGTTTGTCCAAGAATGGGCAGCTATACCCGTTAGAACGATCAGAAACCATATTAGGAGTATGAGAAGGCGCTGCAAAGCTCTCATTGATAGTCACGGATAACAAACACGAACTGTAAACAAAAAATCCAACTTAATAAATTTGGAAAACACCCTGCATGTTCTGAAATCTTCAAAAAGTGTGGGGGAGGGAGTGGTCGTCCTCTTCTCTGGCACAAAATCAGTGTCAAACTCATTCATAGGGTTCAATTCGTCCTTCAGCTGAATTGATAAAACAGAAAAAATCAAAATTTAAAACCTTTCGCACGGCTTTTATAAGATTATCCCAAAAATATTCACACTCAAACATATAGTGCTTAGCTAAAGTTGAGCAGTATTCATATCGTCGGCGGGATAGGAAAAATGCCATGACATTTACGTTCTCCGTCGCTTTAGTGCTTGAGAAAAACAACAAATGTGCTGTCGTGTGCAGCCTTGCAGAAATTTCAAAGGTTTTTTAAATAAATTTTAATTGATGAACTGCATATTTCTAAGATCAGTTTTAAGTATTTACTACATTTGATCAAAACATATTCCTATTGAAATTAAGAACATCCAAGCCGATGTATTCATTTGATTCGACGTCGCCGCTTGCAAGCGGTGTCTAGTAGATGTGCATTTGTCCATACAGCAATGGGGAAAATTTTAGACTTGAAAATCACCCTTTTTCAAATTTTCTAATAAAAATAGTTTTTCTGATGTACATCATGTCACAGAGCATTAAAGATTATAATAAACGTTTATTGAAGTGATAGTGCCATGTTTTGAATATCATATTCTTATAATCATTTTCTAATTTTATCTAAATAATAAATCAAAGCACAGAAGGCGCTGAATTTGTTTGAGTCTCAGAATGTCAGAAAGGTGAAGGTTGTGAGATTATAAACCAGTTAGTTTGTAAAGTGTCACCAAATTCTGTTTCCAGTGTAATAACTATAGTAAATTGGCTATAAGACTAATTGCGATACTGATATTAAATTCAGTGTTTATTTGGCTTAATCAAACAAAAAAGACTTGCCTGAAGTGGGATTTGAATTCCGGACCTCTCGCTTCTAGAGCGAGCGTGTAAACCCCTCGACCACGGGGAGTTGTAAGATAAAAGCCTTAAGAATACCATATTATTCTTAATTAGAGTTTGTAACCCTTATTATCACGGAGCTGAATATAAACATGTATATCTATAAGAATAACACAATATTAGAAATCTTCGACCAATCGGGAACTATTTTTTCGTTAAGAAAATTAATGCGCCTGTCATTTGACAATCTTTACGCAGTGATCTGCCCGTAATTTTTTGGCGTTAATATACATATGAAGGGAAGTAACCGCTCCGAGGAGTTTGGACTACTTTCGGCATTTGCAAATAAGAACATCAGGGTCTGAAATTTCGCTACCATTATTTGTTTGGTCTAACGACCCAAACAAATAATGACGTGCTAATGAGCCTGTCTATACGATTGTGGCAGTGTCACTTACTTCATTTGCTCCGCCTCTGTTGAAGTTCGACTTCGCCTTAAATTGTCGCCAAATTTAATATGATGCTCCATATGCTAGTATTTAGTCTTCGTTGACGGGGCGGAAGGGAGCAAGGACAACTTTGATCAATTTCACATGTCGAATCATTAAATTACAAGTTACAAAGCCTAAACCACGCCCATTATTAAAGAGGCGGTTACGCCACTGCAGAACAGTTCGTCCTCAAAATCATTCGAACATTATGCAATTCGTACCAATATTTAAATGGATAAATTCTCGGCACATATTGTCTTGAATTTATTTTAAGTATACCAATCATTTCAATTTTACTTGTATTTATTTATTATTTTGTATTTATTTTGCTTCGACCAGACGTTTCAATCTTTGTCACAACAGACAAACATTTAAGAATATAAGACATGGCATTACTTTGTGAATTTTATGCATTAGGTTCTACTTTTTAACAAAAATATGCAACTTTATTTTTAAACAACGTGCACATACCAAGAACATGGAGAGAAAAAAATGATTTGTGCTTCGGATATTCAACTGTAATAGAGAACAATTTTCAATGCTGATTGACTGTTCAATTCATTTTGCGGCGTCTTTGATGTGCAACATCAACATTTAACTTGTTCTTTTAATGTGACATTAGGACATATAGAGGATATTTGATTAGTTCAGTGTAAGATCGGAATATATTTCACCGAGTGAGCACCAAAAGGTATATTTCACGAGTGGCGCAGCCACGAGTGAAATATGAACTTTTGGTGTTCAAAAGGTGAAATATATTTCGATCTTACACTAAACTAAACAAATTTTCTTTTTATTATATGCAAATAAACGTTTTAAAAAGACATTACATCTAATACTGAATGAAAAGCGCGCCAAATAATAATACAACGTGACGTCATTTAAGTTGGTACCCAGTACTGTGCACGCTGGTATTTCACTGAAACAACGTAAGGGGCTTAAATTCAAAACAGTGAATTATCAAAGTGGTAATTTCACTGTTTCAAACAGTGAAGTTACCAGTTTTATATCACTGATATATTTCTATAAACCACCGAAAAGCATGTATTAAAAATATTTACCTAATGGGTTATAAAGCTTTGATCGATATTGCGTACAGCGGCAAATACTTTTACAACATTTTGTTATGTTTTAGTAACTCTTATGACGTTGTGACAACGTTTAGGCTGCGCTGCATGCGCATTATTATGCTTATTTAAATATGCATGTGGTAAGCATAATGTGTTTTATTGTTAGAATTCTTGATTTCTTGTAAAAAGGATATATTACGCATTAATACAAAGTTTATTACGTGAACATTTAATATATAATATAAAATTTAAAGCTTAATTCCTGGTATTTCTGGAATGATGTTCACCACATCGTTTTATTTAATTAATTTTCTCAACATTTAAGATATAAAAAAATTGTAGAGATTACTTTTACATTAATGATGTTTTGTATTCAAGATGGTGATTGGACTAACTGGGGACAATGGAGCACCTGTTCAGTGACGTGTGGAGACGGTTTAAAGTCTAGATCACGAACCTGCACAAATCCACCACCGTCAATGAATGGTCGATATTGTGATGGAATTCCCTTAGAAGATGTTGTCTGTACAAAAAGCAGTTGTAGTATGATATCTGATAACATTTATATAACATCCATAAGCATTAGAACAAAAACAATGATTTCCATTCTAAAAAAGTCTTGAGAACATGATAAAAGCATTTTGTTTTGTATTTAATTGCAAACCTTCGCGTCATTGTAATCTCGTGTCTTTTTGTTTATACAGAATTAATTTTTGTCCGATTTTCTATAACTTATAGACACACTTCTTGAACCAACCAGTACTGAGCAATGAGTGTAAAATTTTTGCTTAAGGGAACACTGGCTCGCCCCTGACGGGGTTTGAACCCACGCGAATAGCGATACTTAGGTGATAACAACTCGGCCATTTCGCCATTATAATATGTCCTTTAATCGGAATTAGTGAGGTTGTCGGTATAACTCATGTCTGAAAGATGTTACATTGTAATTTGCTATTATTAAACGAAAGTACCAAATTATTTTTTGCCTATCTTCTTGTTATGTTTACAATTTTATAATGATTTGTGTTTTTCTATGGCTATACAGATCAACAGAAATCAAAATTTTCAAAGTAACTTATACCCTTCAATAGATAATATTGTTATATCTTACCACACGTTTGTTACAAATTTTGTTTTACAGGTCCAAATATAGTATTTAAAGCCAAGAATGTAACAAACACAAGTCCCGGCAATGGACAAGCTATAATATTTGGCTCTACACTTGTTAATGAAGGAAATGCTTATAATACATCTACTGGATTCTTCACTGCGCCTGTCAATGGAACGTACTCATTTAGTGTACAAATTTGTTCGCACAACCAAAAAGAAGTCGTAGTAGATCTCACAGTAGATGGGAATGCATATGCTACTCTACATGTATACGATAGTAATGATGAGACATGTAATAGTGCAGATACAGTTGCTGTTTTACATGAACATTCAAAAGTATTTGTTAAATGCACTGCTGGCTGCACCAACACTGCTATAAAAAACCAATGGTATCTTGTGAACTCGTTCTCTGGATATCTGATTCACCAATAAATTTATCTCTTTTTGTCATTTTTCTCTTTTATTTTACTTGTATATGATAAAGATGTGTATCCATGTAATAGTGCAGATACCGTCGTTGTTTTACATAAACATTAAAACGAATTTGTTAAATGCACTTTTGGTTTTATAGTGCTATATATGAAATTAGTAACCGTATGAACTGGTTGTCTGGATATCTGATTCACAAGTATACTTATATTTTTATCACTTTTCTTTATCTTCGTTTTATAGAAAGTTAGTCCGTATTAACAATTTCTCACCGTCGCGGCATTGTTAGTTATAAAATCATAACGAAACACTCTGAGGTTAAGCACAAATGTTTTAACATTTAACTTTTATTGATTACATTGCCCCTGTTCGGAAAATGCGTACTGAACAACGGATTAAATTATATTTTCCGAAGATTATACAATATTGACAGGATAATGTTTTTCATTTATATCAAATACAAAACGAAGAAATTTTTAGTACTTAAAATGTGTAGAATCACAGCAAATAACAACAATTAAGACTTAATCTTTTGAAAAATAATAAGAATGATTCTTTAACATTATGGAAATCCATTAAAGAACTTGGTTACCATGTAAAAGGTAGTTCATCGATTAGTAATTATATTCATGTATGTTTATAAATATGTGATAAACGCAAGGTTGATGACGTATAAATATATATACTTTTTTCATCAAATCTTACTGCAAAAATGCCTACTTAATTAAAAAGTTCAAGCGCGCAGCTTGGTCATTTTTCTTACATCTTAAGGGTTTTATCTAAAGATTGTTCTTTTTCGTTGATAGCTGAAATTACTATTTTAAATTTTGATGAGCAAGATTCAAATATAATCTACTTATCCAGACTGTATCTCGTCTCGTTTTGTTATTCTTGGTGCATCTTATATCACATGACCCTCAACACATATTGTTATTTTAGCACTAATACAGGGTATTCTTGCGTATCAGACAGGATTACCTCCTGTTAACACCGGTGCTAGAAAACCCTGTCTTACACCCACCATGTAAGACAAGTCACGTGCTTTAAATGACGTCATTGCCGCGCGCCTTTTATGAATGAAATGCGCTCTAAGGATGACGTCATTTTACCGTTATTAATGAAGTCTGTAAGTTCATACGCTTCTATAAGAAAAAAGAGCGTAATGAGAATATCAGTTTTCGTAAGTTTTGTTCCGAAGACAAATGACATTTAATATGCAAGAAAAAGAATCAAACACTTGTTGTCGGTACAGACGGGATTATCTAGCTCTCGGGTAACTGTTTAGCGGAAACTCGACAGAGCCTTGTCACCGCCGTACACATTTACCCTCGAGCTAGATATTCCGGTCTGTACCGGCAGCCAGTGTAGGATTCTTATACTGAACCTGATGATATAAAGGCAGGGAGAGATGTTCCTCTTTTTAAAAAAATGGGTAAACTGTAATTGGCAGTTACAGGAATTTTTTATTATTTCTATTTCCTTTTTAAACATTTTGTATTTTGTACCAAATCTATTCCAATCTTAAACTAAAGGCCATATTATTTATGTTTCAATTCGGGTAAGAAGAGGTTTCATTTTATCGAATAAATGCCATCTTGTGGCATGATTTTATTGGATCTTCAAAAGTCTTTGAAACAGTGGACCATTCTTTCCTTTTTTATGAAAATTCAAACCTTAGCTCTGATATTCAACATTCGAATAGGTCATATATTTTATAGAGGCAAACAAATTGCGGACGTATATTACCTTTCTCTTCCATGAGTTACTTTTGGTATTCTTTAAAGATCCTGTATGTTATAATTGAGGTTGTATACCACACTTAAGTGACATTTTATATATGTATATGATTATGCTTATAAAACAATTTTCAAACATCGAAGAATATGTAAAATATGTACTGCAAATATTTGTGCATATTAAATGTAATCAATAAAATATATGCATTCATTTCTTATTGAAAATTTTGACTAAGACTTTATAGAAAATAAATTTCTCATTACCTTCCTTTACTTACATGAAATGTTAAATTCGATAATGTCTTTATACATAATGCTTTTTAATACTTACAGTATTGATAAATCTTAATATGGGCATCATATTTATGATTTAAAACCATAAAAAATGTGTTACATGATCTTTAAAGGGACTCCACTGAGATTTTTTGACAAGACGAGACTGGAAATAATTTTTTGAGATTTTTTCTCCATTTGATGTAGATCTATACTAATAGCGAATGTGCAAAATTTCAGATCATTAGCTCCCTCGTTTTTCCAGAATAATTATTATAATAGTGAAAAATGACCCAAAATTGAAAAGCGTTTAAACGCTTTTCACTCAAATCGGACTGAGAATAGCACAAACATATGAGTTTTAATGTATTTCTTGTATATTTCTTGGTTATATTTTATTTATATTTCTGTTTTAAGTGCTCATGTTTATCTATGTGAAAAATTATATTTTTATGTTTTTAGGCTTATAAACCTCAGCGGAGTTCCTTTGTTATATGTGAATGATGTGTAGCTGTGATTTGCAACATCAACAGCAACATCAAAATGCGGACAATCTACCGTTTTCTATAAGGAACCGAAACCAAGTTGTATAATCTTGAATTGTCCGTCAAAAGTTATTTTCTTGATATGTAATAATCGCGTTCACTGATGATGGTCATCATAAAATGCGCAATTTCAAACATTCTAAATGCTATTGCGTACTACTGAAATAAACCTTATCTAGGTTATTAGGTAAGAGCGTGCGTCAACATGATACATATAGTGTACTGTGAGTAAAAGCCGTGGTCGAGGTTCATCTTTTTCGTGACGAAGATCTTTGTGTATGAAATTATTCGTATCGTCCAGTAACCCTGACTTACATAAGAGAACACGTTGTAAGTACTTGTACAATATCTAGGAACACTTTGTATGAGACCTGACAGCTATCTTAAAAAAATATCATGCTCTATATCATTATAAGTGTTTTTTTCGTATAATGAAATTGATGATGAACACTTATTACTCCAAATAAATAATGAAACAATTAGAAATAATAAAACAATATGAGAATTTTTGTAAGCATACACCACAAAATATTCATACAAGCTATTATCAAAGAAAAAGATAAAACTGCATGTTTTCCTTTAAGAAAATGACGCGAAATGCAACAGACTGTGTATTGCAACAAAACCTGGGGTAAGAACCTTCAATGGTCCACATGACCCACGTGTCATTTGGAACGTTTGTAATTTAAATTCAAAATATATTTTATCGACTATGAAAACAAACTATACATTCTACTACACGTTAGTCGTTCATTTAATAGTCACACTTATTTTACAGTAGTCTGATATTTTTGTACAATTGAGTGTAAGTCGGGGACTGTAACTCGTTTGCGATTTTTCAGATCATTCTCCCAATCTTATTTTTCAGAATAATCGTTTAATTTTATTGTGCAAAATGGCAGAAAAATGAAAAGCGACTTAGCAATTTTATTTTTAGGGAATTGCTTTCTGACCTTCCGGAATTTTTACGTTTTAACTTTCTTAGTTGATATATGTAAGAAAGTCAAATTTAATGTTCCTGGGGGTTTTGGACCTGAGTGGAAATCTTTTAATGTTAAATAAATGTAATAAATTGTCTTATCTTGACAACGTAAGAGTAAAGACAAATAAATGATTGAATAATATGCCCACAAAGTCAATGGGCACAGGGGAAAGGGACAGGAGACCCGAGGAATGGGGGAAGTAAATTAAAGAAATAAGACTAGGGGCAAAGGGGAAGATACTTACCGTAGACGAGAAAACAACAAGGGACACAAGCAAAAGTGTCACCAAAACAGTATGAAACAACATAGACATACCATACATCTGAGGAACACAGAGGGGCGCCGCCTTTGAACGGTCAGCAGCACAAGTACTGCTGGGGAGTTTAAACCGGTTAATGGTGCACCAAACCTCATTCTTAGCCCCACCATGGTCCTATAAACGAGACAGTGTAAATAAAATGAATCCCCGCCAAGTGAAATTCTAACAGTTGGTATGGTGACAAGAGGTTAAATAAGTAAAACACCAAAAGGATAATGTAGAAACATATATATGTAAAGCCCAATGACCATAACAAAAAACTCAATGTCCTAAAGGAAGACAGAACAACAAGAAAATCACCTACAAGGACGCGACGAAGCAAGGCAGAAGACGAACATTAAGACAATTCAGTCCCAAAGGGCTTTAAGAACTGTCCATGATAGAGTCCCTCTTGGTCCGTCAGATGTAATCAAAAGAGGAAAGCGTAGTGTCTAACTGTAAAAGGGTTGAACACTAAGCATGCAGTATGTCTTAAAATAGTAGGGTCATAACCTCTTTTCATAAAGACACTTTAGTACTTTGAGGGCAATCTCTTGTTCAAATGTCGTTAATTTATCAAAATATAGGACTCTGTCATTCAGATAGCGTCATATTTGGTACGTACATGTTCTTATGGTTATCTAATAAATGAGAACAAGTTTCGTGCCAGTAGACGGGACAGGAGCAAACTTTACAACAGAATGATTGCGATTACGTTAGGTAATATTTTCATTTTTAGTTGTTTGTTGTTGTTTTTTTTTTGTTATTGTTTGTTGGTGTATTTTGTGTTTTTATAACTGTTATATGAATTTACGAAAGTGAAAATAGCAAAACACTCGTTAAAATGGACATAAACTATTTCAAACATAGCTTTCTACAATTTGGAATATGACAAACAAGAACTAACATTATGGCAACAAAAGTTTTGTTGTTTTTTTTTGTTTTTTGTTTTTTGTTTTTTTTTTAATGAAAACGCTATATTAGGGGTCTTATTAAGGTTGAAAATAACTTATACATATTAAGTACAACATCTGCAGAGCAAATCCCAATAAAAGACAAAGAAATGGAAATAATGCTCCTGAATGTCGTCTATGATGTGTGTCAGGTACCAGTCCGAATTTTAAAAACTTATCAGTCAGTCAAACTCGTCCGAAAGATATGATCTTTTATTTTGGCAGCAACACCTTGTTTTTCTTCATCATGTGTACAATGGTCGAAATATTTATCTGAAATAACATTTAATTATGTTCAAGTTAAATCTTTACTGAGTGCATGGGTTTGCAATTAAAGTCACCTTCAGCTGCTACCTATTGCATACGCTATTAAGAAAAACAATTCGCTTGTCATTACACAGATGTATTGGTACCTACTTTTCCTTCAACAGAATGTAAAATGACCAGAATTACATTACATATTGTATATTTTAGGTTTTTCGATATACCTGCTGCTTTCCTTTCCAAAGACATCTGGTAAGCATTAAATACATGGTTGTATCACTTTCGGTCCTAAAACAAATTACCGTATATTGCCCAGATCACGTGGTAAAATGAGAACCTTTTTGCTGGACTACTTTTTATCTATCGTCACTTTTACAGTTTTTTAACTTTAAGAAGAACGCTAGGTAATTATACAAATGAAGCTGAACTTTACTATGACGATAACACATTAGCATATGATAAAACAATCTAAAATATTTTATTCATTGTACTTCATAATAAAACATTTACTTTAGACGCCTTGCAGTGTTACAATTGTACCGACATTGCTGACGTTGATGAATGTCTTACAGTGACAAAATGCCATGCCGGTCAGGTAAATATCTAACAGTATTATTATGCTATATTGGTCAAAGAAATGTTCTACTACCAGTTCGCATAATATAATATTATTTTGATAAATATTGACACGTAATTGAATATAATAATGTTAACGCAAATATTGTCGAATGAGGGTCAGGTTATTGTCATATAGAGAAAAATGATATATTAATAGTCAGGAAGATACCTTTAGTATGACAATAAAATTCCAAGCCGGGATGATACAGGATTCAAAGTTACAAAGACATTACAGAACTCGGGTATTTATTGACCAATTAAATTCTTGCGATTTGAGACAGAATACAGAAAAGGGTTATATAACAACGAGACCATGTCTCCCCTAATCACTATTAAAACTGATAAATGATGACTCCAAAATGTCTCAAATTATTCGTCAACGCTTTATATTATACTTATGTTTACTTGCTATTTTACAGTCATGTCATATAGAAGTAAAATCCACAGGACAAAGAAGCACCCTCGGATGTATAGACAATCAGGTAGGCAAGAGATATACCGAAAAACAATTTTACAAAATTAGCAAAAATCTAATATTTGGTTCATATAAAACAAGTGTATGGCAAAATAAGTGACATAATTTACTATTAATTTTCCGTTCTCGTCTTAGCAAAAATACCATCTTAGTTTCAACGTACTGATGTTCTAAACCAACAATATGAATATAAGATTCAAATTACCGGAAATTAGTAAAATTTTATAAATTTTCAACAATCGCAGAATCAGACTGTACAGGACCTTTATAGAAACCATATATGCCTGTACTGTCCGCTTTTGAAGTTTCCTGTCTATAGCTCATTTTTTCCATTTTACAGTTATGTGGAGTAAGTGCCAGTGGTGCCGGGAATTTGACCGGTCGAGAGATAAGTGGGCGACAAACTTTGGACTGCCATGAATGTTGTAGTAAAGATAGATGCAATAAAAATCTGTGTGCACATTTGACACGTAAGCTCATCCTTTCAAATATTTCTTGGTAACTGAACAACAAAAAGACGAACAGAACATCCACTTTTCTTAACATTAAGTTCTAAAAGGGTCAAAAATGATATCATAATGAAAAACATCCTATCACATGACAAAAATAACAACACCATCAACTAACATTATATATTCGAACACTGCCGAAAGGAGGCAAAAACAATTTATGGGGTTTAAAGATATCACCCAGCATTACCGATATAAGCCGATATTTACTGAGTTTTAGTTGTGGTTATCCTTTATGAAAGAGTCCATTGTCTGCATACGGCATAGTTTATTGCAAATGCGGTGATAACACTATTAGGGTGGCTACTATTTATATTTCAGCCGGAGCATGTATTGATGATGTGAAAGTGGATTGTGCTTTTTTAAATAGCTTTTTCAATATTTGTAAGGATATTCATCGAGCCAAGTTAATCTGTGCAAAATTCTGCTCACTGTGTTCACTTGGTAAGCTTAACGCTTTGACTTACTATACTTTTTTCGGTTACAAATCATAATCAATGTGGTTAATGATTTCTCAGGTTTCAATTTCGACACTTATTTTTATAGTGGCTAATTTTATATGATACGATTTTCTATGCTATAACACTCTTTTCAAAAAAACCCCTTTTTTTTTACCAAATTTAACCCAAAAATTAATATGAAAAAAATTTCCAATACTATGTTTCAAGTTTGACAAAAAAATATTTGTTTACTAAAAGGGCCATGTAGGCATTAAAAAGGAAACAAATTATTTGCAATTCAAAGTGTTTTGACTTGCTGTTGCCCCTTTTTAAAAAATCTTCCAAATTCCCCCAAAATTTATTTTCATTTATTTTGGCATACCCAAGTTTCCATTTGTCAAAACCCTTTTTTAAAATGGATGGGAATTTGGGAAAAAAGCTGGTCCTCCTTTTTTTTAAAATTTTTTGAAGTAAAATTGTGAAAATGGGGGCTTCAGACTTTTTAAAAAAAGAAAAAATGTTCCGTCCTCCTCCCGCAAATGGCGGACTTGATTTCATTTGGGACACGACTGATTTTTAAGACATGCTTTTAAAAACAACCCTTTTTTCAAAGCTTTGGAAAATTTTGCAATTTTCAATTCATTTTTTATAATTTATTTTAGTAGGGGCGTACTTTAAATCCCTTTAAAAATTATTTTTTATTTATTTTGAAACCCCCAAAAATTTGGGGGTTTCTCTGAAAAAAACAAATTTAAAGGAAAAGGGTTTGGAATTTAAAATACTTAGGGGAAAACCAGATTCGAAAACACAAAACGGTAGTAAATTTCTTTTAAACCCCAAAGCTCCAAAAAATGCAATTTTTTTTACATTTTATTTTTTTTACGGGTTTTTCGGGCATCCCTGTAGGGAAAAACCCCCTTTTTCTGGAAAAACAAAGGGGAAAAAATTTAATTTTCTTTTCGGGAAAAAAAGCTTTCCCTTTTTTTTATGCAGCTAAGTTTTTGTCAAATAGTAAATCTCCTGTTAGAAAAACATTGAAATCAAATTATAGCGACACATTTTGAAACAAACCAAAGGGAATTAAACCAGTAGGCCTTCATGTAAAAATAAGTTACGGAAATCGAAAAATAAACCAAAACTGTATTCTTCAAAACGTTGAAGAAGAATTCTTGCGTGGTTAGTATTTCAATCATCCAAATCTTCTGAACTTTTTAAAGAACTTTTTTCAAAAATAAAAGAACATAATTATTTTATCCGCTTTTACAAGGATAAATCTGATGATGGTTGGATAACTATGATGCTAGTTCGTGGAGTCGTGTTTTAAAATAAATTTTCTCTAGAAGGAGACTTCGTGATAATGCGTCTTTATATTTATTGCTGAAGCAAAGGCCCTCGTTTAAGCCTTGTCACTTAATCACAGAATAATTGTCATAAATGTGTATATTTTTTCTCAGATTCTTTCTCCCTGTTTACTTTGAAAATGCGATAACATTATGATAAAGACACTCCTGATCAAATTGCACGAAATGTTAACTAAGTCAGTCAAGTTATGTTGGATCACATGCCATTAAGTATTGGCTTAGCTTAAAGTAAAAAACCATTAAATACTTAACCAGTAGACTAATTGTCAACAGGTGTTGATTTAAACTTTTCATAAGTTAACTTTTACATCATTTGAATAAAATTCGAACTGGAACAAAGCCGGGACTGAGACAAAGTCGTATTAAACAAACTTTATAATATCAACCCTTGTCGTGACGTATCACAATCTTTATTTCTTCTTAACCGTCAATCAATCAATGGTTCTTCTAACATGTATAACTAAATACACTAGAGTTTTGCATTCTGATCTTTTAACAGGAGATGATTCCCCATTTGTATAGCCTGCAATAATGTTTCACTTTAAAAAAAATCATTGAAAACCAATGTCTAGCAGACCGTTTTTTCTCAGTTAAAAAATCATATAAAGCATTCTAAGTATAAACAAATCATTTTATAAGCAACAATTCACTTCCGACTTTATAATCGCATTTTAATAATTCGGTGTTCGGCGCGGTATGACCAGAAATGTGTCAATATGCTGCTTAACTCAAATAAACAAACAAACGAATATTATGTATGAAATATATAATCGTTTTAAGGACTCCTTCATTGTGAATAGCATATATTTTTCAAAGTGCATGGTGGATGGACTAAATGGTCGAACTGGAACGCGTGTTCTGCAACATGTGGTGTAGGCATAGAAAGACGACATCGTAATTGCTCGAACCCGATACCAGACAGAAACGGACTTCAATGTTTTGGCGACACTTTAGATGATAGAATATGCTTACTGCGTCCATGTGCAAGTAAGTTTGATAAAATTGTTTCAGTTTATCAACACATATAAGCAAGGATGTTTATTAATTATTTCAATGCAAAATTTTCTTATTAGAATATAAACAAAAAAACTGTAATGCTTTACACTTAATGACATTGTAAATCAACACAAATGTTTTAAAATCAATTTAGATTCGTTGAAACTGACATAACATTCAATATCAATGTAGCGTGTTAACCAAAAAAAATAAATGTTGATAATTATAATATAAAATGATTAAAATGTTATTGAAAAAGTAAGTAATTAAACATCATAATTAAAGGTTATAACGACCATATTAAAAGGTAATATTATACCTCATTTGCATACGCCCTTCTATAATTAATATGATAAGACCGGCTACCCAGTCCATAATTCTTATATGGACTGAATGACGTCATATCAAATATAGAAGGGCGTATGCAAATGAGGCATAATATTTAATTTTGTTGATAAAAGATTCTTTTTACTGAATTTATTGTTATTTTTCACATAAATTCGTTACATGTTGATCAAAAGTCATGATTTGTCTTTAATTTAATTATAAATTTTATTTATACAGTTTTTTGAAATTCCGGGAGAGGGGTGGCCTAGTAACATTAACTATTTTATTTGATTAACAAAATGGAATATCATAAGAAGAGCATGGTTTTTCTGCAAACCTTGAAAGTAATAAAAAAATCCTACTAGGGTTTGAGATATTTCACACACTGAAAAATTAAGATTATTATTTGAAAGCAAATTACAGTAAAAACAACTGCATCAAAGAGTGAAAGGATTTAGACAAAACAAATAAAACATTGCCTTTCGGGAAAATGTAAGTTTACGGACTGGTTGGTCAGAAGCGCATATACTTCCCGAGGTCTGACCAACCAGTCCGTTAACTTGCATTACGCCCTCAAGGCCATGTTTTATGTGTTAATTGTATTACAGCATATTTCACAGTCAAAATGCAATTTTTCCCCTTTTAAGGCCCATTATGCCTCATTGATGCCATCATTTTTATTTCTCAAAAACTTTTTATTTTATATGTTCTTACAGTTTCCAACAAAACTTCATTTGCCATATACCTGAATTACCTTTGCTTCTTTTGTATTTTTGTCAATTGGTATATGTATTTTGTATGGCAGTCAAAATATCAGTTTGCTTCCATTTTGCTACCTTAACCTTCTGCACATAAAGCACTACTTTCTTCAGCATCTAACTATATTACATACTCGTAATCCATTATTAAAACATTATTAACAACATGTGTGAGAGTTGTAAAGATAAAAAATATGGATTTCTGTTGTGACACTATGTGCCTTTAATCACACATCTCAGTATCGTCGACATTTTTGATAGTTCCACACAAATCCATATGGCCTCAGACCAATATTAATTTCACTATATGTTCTTTATAAACATTAAACCCTGTGGCAATTTTACTAACTCTCCAATCAAATCAAAGTCACTTGTGCTTACAGTACCATCCAAGATAAATAATTCTAGCTATAGCAAACTAGGGGTCATTCATCATTTTTCCACAGCATTTCAGTTCAAAATACATCAGTCTGACAATTTTCAGTAATTAGCCGGAACCATGTGAGTGCTGTCATGTAGAAAAACACTTAAAAAAAATACTTACTCGCATAAAATCTGGATCAAAATTGGCATTTACCAACTATTTGAAATGAATTCTGTCAGGAAATGGCCTTTTTTCTATCTCTTTCATTCAATTATTCATTTATATCTGGCATTAAACACAGGCACTCTTTTATGCGGATTTACTTCCTTATTGTGGTCAACGAAAGGCAAATAACTGTGGACTGATTCCTATTTACTCAAAAACGTTTATCTGATCTTAATAAAATTTTGCATACATCATTCCTAGGCTATCTCATATTATTCTGGAAAGTTTTGAGTCTTAATCACATATACTGATGAATTCACAGCCTGTTATGTACCATATGTACCATTCAGCCCTGAAGCCAGGCCGCAGCTTATCAAATTCAAAGTACTCTAAAACTAAAATTGCTCAAACTTTTTTATTACTTGGATGATTTTCATGAAATAAAAAGTAATCTCATCAGTGATTCAAATATTACTTAAATATGCATCTAAAACTAACATAAATTAACTTTTTTCTTAAATAACGTTTTTAGACCAAATATATCCAAATTTAGACATATTACATAATACTATAACTGCATGGCATAATTTTTGTAAATTCTCATTTTGTCAAATCGGTTATGTCTTGAAAGGCATGCATTTTGCCTTTAAAATGATGTTTCATTTATTATCATAAGCCAACTGGTTCAAAAGTTATGTCTAGTAGAAAAGTGCCCTGCCTAATTATTACCTCCCCAAGTGGCTGCTCAGTCAATGTGGTCCAATGCACAGCATTCCACACACTGTTACCCCAGGTACTAATCACCACCCAGGAATGCCAAAGTCTGGGTCCCTCTGTGTGATTCTTGAAAACCACATTTGAAGAAATTCCAGAAATTCCATTTACTGTATAAATATGGACCCAGCTCCTGACTCTTTATCAAAAAGCAACTTACCTTCATACTATACACAACTGCTGTACAATTATGCGAGGCGACCGAAAGAAGAAATTAGCTGGGTTCAAGCAAAGGAACTCACCATGGAATAAAGGCTTGAAGTTTGACAACTCTTGTCATGTAGATACTGAGCCTAAGAGATCTATCACCAGACTGACTGTAGATGAATTTCCAGTGACATCCAGGCCTACTGCAGATGGTAGTGAGCTCTCAAGAAGTGCAATGCTGTTGCCACCAAGTGCTTCTGCGACTTCATCTACAATGAAAATAGACGATAAAAATTCCTGTTCGGGCATGAGAATTGTTGACAGTTTAAAACATTAAGTTTCTAAATAAATAAAGGGAGGTAATTCACTGAAGTTGTGCATAATCACCCCCTTTGTGTACATTTATCTACCTGAATAAGTGCTTTTTATGTTTGTAGATACATCAGAGACACTAAACCTGTGTTATAATTGTGCAAAAGGCATGAACAACAGAAGGCATTAAGCCAGGACATAAAGGCTAGATGTAACTTTATACTAAAAGAGATGATGAGAATTCATACTGGAGATATGAATACTATCAAAAAAATATTTACCTCGTGTTCTGGATGCTACAGTGAGCTGTTATGCTGGGGACTGCTCTAAGTGTAGACGCTACTCATACGTGTGTTCTGGTGGAGTAACAAACAACTGGTGGAACCGCTCCATGTTCCTCAGCAGCCATAGAATTACAAACTTGTGCCTACAAGAGAATGACAAACAATTAATTTTTGACATAGTTAAAATGAAAATAAGTGTGAGCGCTATCGAACAGATGAAATTGGGCACCAGCACGCAGAAACGTGAAGCGGTGAATCTATCTATTAGTGTGTCGCTACCAAAAAATAATGATTTCGCACGGAATGTTCATGGACGCCTCAGTTCTACCATTCACCGCTTAAATAACGGTGTTGCGGACAGCGCTGAGAAGAAATTGGGGTGTTTAGGGATTCGTCTCTCTGAGAAAGCAGCTTATAGCCTACATCAAATGCAAAGAGAAGAAACATATCAGAGACAGTATTAAAAAAAACCTGAAACAGTTAAACACAAACTTTTATCAAAGGGTAGACAACTCCATGAACATCTGAAATACAAGATGACACACTCTACAATATCTCATTACAGGAAAGGTCAGTTGGATCTAACACCATTAACATCCAAGGGAGGCAACAGCAACCATACTTACTCAGAAAATCTATAAATTATCTCCCTTGATATAAACAGATAAACAAAAACAGTGTTTCTTCAGTGGGGAATAAATATTCGGTTGCGCACGAGACAACCAGCTTAAACAAATGTGCTGTCTGTGTACAGACCTGAAATTCAAACTTAACAAATGGTTTACTTAAAAAGTGACGGACTATTCCTTTTAAAGCGAATTTCATATTTCATTACTGTATCATTCTACATAACCTGCATGATATTTTGAAATTGTTATCATCTCTGTTGTTATTTTACACTGTGAAATAAATGTTATATTAATTAAATCACAGGCTTTTAGCATTTCTTTGCAATGCCAGAGTGCTTTAAGTAAAATTCCACAAGTTTTCATGGGCTATGGCTGTTTATAAGCAATTATTCAAAGTCTAGCACATGTGAACTGACCAATTTTACTTGAAATACACTGTTATTGCTTAACAAGTAAAAAGAATGGGAGCAGAAACATACTTGTAGGATTATAATAGGAATCCTTTAAATGTAGGACAATATAAGGAAATATGCAATCAGAATAAATGAAAGGACACGTAAGCACGCACCAACCTTTATCCCGAGGCCATCAACACCTTAAATATGTCTCTTCAACAAAGCGATTACTTACCTCAAACAAATAAACAGTCTCGGTATACCCCATGGCTGCAGCAAATGGCCCGGTTCACACACTTAAGCCTTTCGGTATTGATGCAATGGGGCTCAAATGGTTAGCACCGACACACAGTGGCACGTGGCACAGGTGCGAGACCTCTAAATCTGGTTCAACATACAGAATTTTATTGTGAACCAGGTAAAGAAGTTTATGAACATGCATGGTGTGCCACTGTACATCAGGAAACTTGGAAATAATAACAATACCATAGCCCACTGGTCCTTTCTTTTATACACCCCTGCCATATCATACAGCCCTGTCTGTTTAGCATAGATTTTTCATTGATTTTTTTCTAAATAATTTTTAAAAAATGCTTCCATTTTAACTTTTATTTAAAGGGAGGCTGTAACCTGTACAGGTAATGACCTCCTGGCTATATTTAAACAGACATTTCTAAACTGAAAGTAGCTTTTTGAGATTTTTTTAAAAAAATGTATATATTATTATATAAAATTACATAATACAAAGAAAATAAAAGCACTTGTGTAATTTAATTACAAACTCAGATTTATACATCAATTATCTGCTTCATGACCAAGTTTCATTAAAATTGCTCTAAAAATGAAAAAGTTATTACCTGTCAAAAAGATTTACTCCATGTAAAAACAAGCTTCTAATCAGGCCTCAGACCACAATTAATTTCACTATATGTTCTATATAAACATTAAACCCTGTGGCAATTTTACTAACTCTCCAATCAAATCAAAGTCACTTGTGCTTACAGTACCATCCAAGATAAATAATTCTAACTATAGCAAACTAGGGGTCATTCATCATTTTTCCACAGCATTTCAGTTCAAAATACACCAGTCTGACAGTTTTCAGTAACTAGCCGGAACCATGTGAGTTCTGTCATGTAGAAAAACACTAAAAAAATACTTACTCGCATAAAATCTGGATCAAAATTGGCATTTACCAACTATTTGAAATGAATTCTGTCAGGAAATGGCATTTTTTCTATCTCTTTCATTCAATTATTCATTTATATCTGGCATTAAACACAGGCACTCTTTTATGCGGATTTACTTCCTTATTGTGGTCAACGAAAGGCAAATAACTGTGGACTGATTCCATATGTGCCTCAATTCATTTACTTGTTTCTGTTCCCGGTAGGTGTCGCTGTTGCACACTTCTCTTGCATTAGTACTGATGCGTGCGTAATTACATGTACTGACTGCTATCCTTTCAACCTGCTTTCCTTTCAATCTAATTAAATGAATAATTTTCACGACATCGTTTATTTAATTGGCTTTCTCAATTTTTTGAGAGACAACACATTGTACGGATGACTTTTATATGAATGATTTTTGATATTCAAGATGGTGGTTGGACTAACTGGGGACAATGGAGCGCCTGTTCAGTGACGTGTGGGGACGGGTTAAAGTCTAGATCACGTTCCTGCACAAATCCGTCACCCTCGCCTCTGGGAAAATATTGTGATGGAGATTCCTCAGAAGTTGTTTCCTGTAGGAAAAGCAGTTGTAGTATGTGATAATATTTATATAACGTTCATAAACTGTAGAATAAAAACAGTTATTTTCATTCCTAAATTGGCTGAGAATATGACAAACACCCATTTTGCTATATCTTATTGCAAGCCTTCGCGTCGTCGCAACCTCGTGTTCTTTTAATTACACAGAATTTATTTTAGTGCCATTGTGTATGAAGCTTATAGACACATGTCTGGATCCAACCAGTATTGAGCAATGAGTGTATTTTTTTTTTTGCTCAAGGAAACACTGGCTCGTCCCTGACGGGGTTTGAACCCACGCGGATAGCGATACTAAAGTTACTATTCGGTCGCCCATGCCGCCATCATAACATGTCCATTAATCATAATATTGATATAACTAAATGTGTCTTAGATGTAAGATTGTGATTTCCAATGCTGACAAGGTTGAAAAGAGAAATGTGCCAGCTTGTTGAGAGCATATAACTAAATGGATAATACTGTTCTTTAAAATGATATGCACTTAAGTTCTCTCAGGGTATTCTTATTTGTAATGTGCTGGTGAAAGTTATTCTTGTTTTTCTACTTTTCATCACTTTTATAATAAGTCGTGTATTTTTGTGATTAAACAGTACAACAGTAATCAAAATTATCAAAGTAACTCATACCCTTCAATAAATAATATTGACAAATTTTGTTTTACAGGTCCAAATATAGTATTTAAAGCCAAGAATGTAACAAACAAAAATCCTGGCACTGGAAACACTATAATATTTGGCTCTACACTTATTAATGACGGAAATGCTTATAATACATCTACTGGAATCTTCACTGCGCCTGTCAACGGAACGTACTCATTTAGTATACAAATGTGCGCAAATGTCAACAAAGAAGTCTTTGTAGATCTCATAGTAGATGGGACAACATATGCTATCTTATATGTTTATGATAGATATTCGTACCCATGCAATAGTGCAGATACATTTGCTGCTTTACATAAGCATTCAAAAGTATTTGTTAAATGCACTGATGGTTGTACGAGCAATTATATATATGCAGATGTTTACCGTATAAACTCGTTCTCTGGATATCTGATTCACCAATAAAGATCTTTTTTGTCACTTTTCTCTTCTTTTCATAAAGTGTTTATCCGTTTTATTCATTTCTGATCGTTGAGGCGTTTTGATGTCATTCCTTTGTTCTGACCGTACTGTATTTTTAATACAGTACAGGTAGGTATCCAATATTAATGTGCCAGTCGAATATTAATCGTGTAACACATTAATATTAGACAGCGTGCCATGTCTTGAAAGAAGCTTGTTTGACCACAGGATTTTGTGGAAAATTCTCCAAAGAAAAAAAAACAAATAGAAGAAAAAAACCGGTTAAGTTAAATGTAACCTCTAATCTCAGGATTTAACACGAGAAATGATGCAATGTTTTTCCTTCGCCCATTACGCATTTACATTATTTTACAAAAAGAACAATAATTGTTATCCGGCTTATTTAACGAATTATTATTCAAAGCCTACTAATTTTCGATTTTCAAGGTCTTAACATCAATCACTGCTTACTCTGTCCAAGTAAAAGATAGCGGGGTCAGTTAGGATATGATTTTATGGGATTGTTTAATTTCTTGCATATTTTCCGGTTGTTTTTTTTTGTTTTTTCGTTCTTAAATATACGTTAAGTTGACAATCATACTTGATTTGCTTTATTGTATGTACGTTATGTTTCAGTTAAGTCAACTTTTCAAATAAGGGTAATGGTCAGCTTGTCAAATAAATACAAAAGACAAAATGAATTCATCTATTTAAACCAAAAGCGGTTATATTTGACTGCTTATGTAAAGAAACAATACCAGACTCCTATGGTATGACAAATATCAATTCAAAAATAAGAAAATATCATTTTGTTGCGTTAATATCCAAAATTTATACTAATGGCACAATATTTTACATCCGAGATAGTTGTAGTAAAGTAAAAATATCATTTTAACACTAAATGGTCAGTATAAATCCTTCTTAAAAGTCATAGATTGTTTCAGTCAATCATTTAAAATATCCGAGATTCAACACAAATTTGAAAACATTTCATTTTTATTATTTCTTGTAAAAATCACAAATGTAAATTGATGTATACTGTATGTGTGTAAGTCAAACATTTTGTGTAACTGGTATATTTTGTGTTCATGTACATAATTGGTTATATTTCAAAACACGAAAATTTCATGCAACGGACATTTTGTCATTCAAGAGGCTACCTATAGGTTTTTGCAAGTAAGAAAAAGATAATTGCTTAAACATTAATATTGTACATTTCTAGCACAAAAATACATTATTTCTAATTTTTCGATAGATAACATGATATTTGATAGTAAAAGTAGTAATTTAAGTAAGATATAAGCCTCAAACTGATCAAAAAGTAAAATTTTGAATTCCCTTCGGCGCTATGCGCCTCATGAAATTCAATATTTTACATATTGGACAGTTTTCGGCTTATATCTACTACATAACAAAAAACAAATTTGAGCTAAGCCCGAAAATAATGCTTTATAGATGTTTCACGTTTTTCATTGATAGTGAGTTTGATAAAAAAAAAAGAGAAAAGTAGTTCATCAATTAGTACTTATGTACGCAAGGTTAATGAAATATTCAACTATAGTTACTGTACTTTTTCATCCAATTTTACTGCAAAGGTACCTACAGAATTAGATAGTTTATGCGATCAGTTTTTTTTTTCATTTATTTCTTACATCTAAACGAGTTTACCTAAAAATACGTTTGCGTTGAAGATTGAAAAAATAATTTAATCAAGATTAAAATAGATTTACTTATTTACGGTATCTCGTCTCTCTTTGTTAGAGTAAGCGCATCTATTATCCTATTATCCCATTTCCTTTAACAGATATTGTAAATGCCAATAATACAATGTACTGTATGTTCTGTAACAGATGATATGAAGACAACGAGAGACGTTCCTTCATCAACTGTATTTGGCAGTTACAGGAATATATCAATTTGTTGAATTGATGTAACTCCCAATATTTGTTGGCCTTCGCTGTCTGTTCGTCCGTCTGCATTCCGCTTGGCCGGCCTTCATAAGTCAAACTGCTGGCGTTCAATAAAACTTCACAGTAGTGATTAGTACCATCCCTAGTTGTGCATATCAAATCGCAGACACGTTCCGCTTGGCTGCACAAAATGAAACCAACTTTGTTAAACGCAGGTTTATAAAGTATTTAACTACATGTATATTTACTGTACTATTTGATCAAATCTAACTTTAAAGCTACCTACAGTATTTAACAGTTTATGCGAGCAGTTTGTTCTTTTTTCTTTTATCTTAAGGCATACCTATATTTGTTCTCTTTTTCATTGATAGCTGAAAAAGAAGTTTAAATTGTTATAAGCATGTTTCAAATTAATCTACTGGTAATAGTTGGTGCATCTAATATTACTCGACCAGATGATATGAAGACAGGGAGAGATGTTCCTCTTTACATAAAGAATAATTAAACTGTAATTGCAGTAACAAGAATGTATCTATGTTGAATTATTTCACCTTCTTGTTTTTAACCTTGACAAGTAACCGTTTTCTATGAGGAACGAAACTTAGTTGCTTGATTTTAAATTGTCAGTCAAATGTTATTTAATTAAATATGTAATAATGGCTTTTACTTATGCTTGCCATCATAATATGAGCGGTTTTAAACATTTTAATGCTATTGCGTATGAATGAAATATTGTCTAAGGTTATTAGATAAGAGCGTGCGTCAACGCGACATATATATTGCCCTGTCTGAGTGAAAGCCATGGTCGAGGTACTTGTTTTTCGTGACAGGGTGAATGACATTATTCGTATCGTCTTGAAATCCTGATTTACATATTTGCTACTTGCAGAGAACATGTTGTTAGTACGGTTACAAAATCAAGGAACACTTGGTGTATAAACTGAAAGCCATTCTAATCATTATTATACTCTATATTATAAGCGTTTTTCCGTATCATGAAATGCTAATATAAACCCTTATTACGCCAAATAAATAACGAAACAATTAGAAATAATAAAACAGTGTGAGAAATTGTTTAAGCATACACCACCAGTGTTCAATCTAGAGCGCGCCATTGCGCCATTGGCCCCCTAAAATGACTGCCGGCGCAAAACAAATTTAACTGTGGGCCCGACGGGCGCATTCGCTTAGAAAATACCATTACGGTATTTAAGGTACTTTCTGTTTATTTTTACGCTTTACGCTCATTATTCACGCACCTGTTGACTGTGCTAGTATTGATTTTTTCAAGAGTGGTAAATATATGCCCGCACATCGTAAACCAGTCGGTTGCTATAGCGTTATATCAGCAGCTCAGTTCTAAATTTAGCGCACACGATGAAAAGAATTTCCGACTTCTTTTTACCGAATTCAAATGCAAAAAAATCGAAGTCGCCCGATAAAGAGCCGACGAAAAATGTTGATAGTGTTCCATGTACATCCCAGTCCGACCCCGGCCCTTTTGAATCGTCTAAAAGGCGTGAATTTCAAGGAAAATGGCTCAAAGATGACCGATTTAAAAAATTGGCTTATTTTTGATGACGATAAAAAATGTATGCAATGTTCGTTATGCATTAAAATGAGGAAAAAAAATCCGTTTGTTACAGGTTGTGTCAACTATAGAACTTCAACTCTTGAGCGACACATGTCTTCTTCTGACCATCAGAATGCCCTTATTGACCAACGTGGTCAGTCAGTTTTTCAAGCATCTTTTAAGTCTGCATTTGACAAAAAGAAAAGCTCAATTATTAGTGCTTTGCGTACAGTTTACTGGATGTGTAAAGAAAAAATTGCAACATTGAAGTACAGTTCTCTTTTAAGCCTTCTTAAACTACAAGGTTGCCCAGATATTTTGACTTTGCATTCTGGAGATAATGCCACCTATGAGTCCGAGAGGGCTGCTGAAGAATTTCAAGATGCTTTAAATCATGTTATAGAAAATGATATGAAACAGAAACTAGCTTCAGCCCGCGCCGTTTCTCTAATGTGTGATGAGAGTGATGATGTTTCAGTTCAGAAAAAGTTGGTCATATTTGCTAGGTTTATTCCTGAATGCACTGACTTTCAGCCTGAAACTCATTTTATTGAGAATGTTACTATTGATAAGGGTGATGCTGAAACTGTGTACCAATCATTGAAATCTGTGGTAAGTGAAAAGGGTATAGATTTTAGTAATGTAAAGTTTTTTGGCTCAGATGGAGCGGCAGTTATGACTGGTAAAAAGTCTGGTGTTAGTGCTAGGCTTTCAAGTGATCGGCCACTTATTGTTAACATTCACTGTATGGCACACAAGCTAGCTTTATGCACAAGTCAAGCAGCAGAGAGTATTCCATATATATAAAAAAAAGTACAAGGAAATTTTGACAAATATTTTCTACCATTTTAAACATTCCTCACTGAGAACTGCAAATCTGTCTAAAATTGAAAGTGTTTTGAATGACAAACAGCTAAAAATCAAGGAAATTCACAGTGTACCCTGGTTTGCATTTGATTCAGCCCTTGAGGCAATATTTCACACATGGGGTTCCTTAGTTACTTATTTTGAGTCAGAAAAGCAAGCTGAGAAAGGTTGAACTGCAAAAGGGATTCATTCTCAGCTAACCCAGTTTGAATTTGTTGGTGTAACTTACCTTTTAATGGACATAATGCCAATACTCACCAAACTGAGTCTCAGCTTTCAGAAACAAGACATTGATATTTCTTTAGTACAACCACTTATTCAGTCAACAATCTCACAGCTTGAACACTTAAAGCAGAATAATGGTCACTACATGCAACTGTTTAACACAGCATTGACTGAGAATGGACTTGACTTGAGAGATCACAGCATCTCAGCAAGTAAAAACAAGCAAACACATTTGAGTAACATAAGAAGTGACTTTATTCAAAAAATAATTGCTCAACTTAATGTTAGATTTCCACAGGAAGATACATCAGTTATAAGTGCTCTGGCAGTCCTTGGTTTGAGAGGTATATCCTTTGTGCAGAATATTCCTGACCATGGAAAGGATGAAATTAATAAACTCTGTGATTTCTATGGTTTAAGTAATAATGACACAGACAGTGAACCTTACATTGATAGTAACCAATTAAGGATTGAGTGGGAAATTTTAAAACCTCTTGTAATTCAACAAAGGTATCCAACTGACAATATATATAATTTGTGGAAATTGATTTTTATGTATCACAAGGAGATGTTTCCAAATCTTTTAAAACTTGCTGAGCTTGCTCTTATTGCACCCTTACAAACTGCTGACTGTGAAAGGGGTTTTTCTACCCAGAATGATATTAAATCATCAGACAGAAATAGATTGTCCTCTAACAGACTGAATAAATTAATGAGGATATCTCTGCACAAAGTTGACATAGCTGATTTTGATTTTGATAAAGCTGTAGATGCATGGCTATCAGTGAAAAATAAGAGAGCTTTCTCCAGTACAAGTACCTAACTGAAAAACTTTTTTCCAAAGAAAATGTCCTTGCTTGTTATGACATTCACTTATTCATAGTTTACACAGTTTATTATTATGTAAAGTTTGAACTGTTAACATTTTATGCAGATTAGTTAGAGTGAAATTTGAAATTAATGAATTGACTGTTTACAGAATACCTGATATTATACATGTACAGTATGTATGAGTAATTAAAAGAGTTGTCACTGTTATTTCATATTTTTACCTTATGTATATCTGCATTAACAATCCACCTAGAAAAGCAAAGGTAATACTTTATTTGAATTTGATGGTCATTTTAAGTATGGGCCCCCAATTTTCTCAAATGACCCCCTCTTGATAAGTTTATGGGCCCAAAGGGCCCCCTTGAATTTCATTCTAGATTGAACACTGCTGTGACCACAAAACATTCATACAAGCTATTAACCAAGAAAAAGATAAAACTGCATGTTTTCCTTTAAAATAATGAAGCGAAATGCAACTCAATGTGTATTGCAACAAAATTTGAGGTTAGAATCCGCAATTGTCCCTAAGCATCCTACCCCTGTGTCATTTGGAACGTTTGTAATTTAAATTCAAATATATTTTATCGACATGAAAACAAACTATAAATTCTTCTACACATCAGTCGTTCATTTAATGGTCACACTTATTTTACAGTAGTCTGTTAGTACATTTGCCCTTTTAAAATTCTTTCTCATGGGTACTAACAAAATTAACACTATACACATTATCGAAGTATTCATTATCTCCCATGTGAGTTTTTTTACATGACTGGAATACTTAACGATATTTTTGTACAATTGAGTGAAAGTCGGGGACTGTAACTCGTTTGCGATTTTTCAGATCATTCTCCCAATCTTATTTTTCAGAATAATCATTTAATTTTATTTTGCAAAATGGCAGAAAATGAAAAGCGACTTAGCAATTTTATTTTGAGGGAATTGCTTTCTGACTTTCAGGAATTTTTACGTTTTAACTTTCTAAGTTGATATATGTAAGAAAGTCAAATTTAATGTTCGTGGGGGTTTTTGGACCTGAGTGACAATCTTTTAATGTTAAATAAATGTAATATATTCTCTTATCTTGACAACGTAACCGTTAAGACTGATTTGGTTATATTTTGAAACAAGTAACATAATGGTTTTATCAATATCTTACCAGCCAGCATAAAATATGATAAACAAGATCAACAAGGAAAGGCGGCGTTTGAAATGAACGCAACCCCCACGCGACCCAGCAACAAGAACCAGTGGCAAGGAGCCCGGACGGACCCCAAACAAAAATAGGACAGGGCACAAGGTAGAGCATGGAAATGGCTAATCACAAATGATAAATAATTGGTTACTGAATTCACACAAAACAAATAAATGATTGAATAATATGCCAAAAGGCAAAGGGCACAGGGGAAGGGCACAGGAGCCCCGGGGAATGGGGGTAAATTAAAGAAATAAGAATAGGGACAAAGGGGAAGATACTTACCGTGACGAGAAAACAACAAGGGACACAAGCAAAAGTGTCACCAAAACATTATGAAACAAAATAGACATATGTCTGAGGAACACAGAGGGGCACGGCATTGGAACGGTCAGCATCACAAGTACTGTTGGTGAGTTTAAACCGGTTAATGGTGCACAGAACCTCACTCTTAGTCATAAACGAGACAGTGTCAATAAAATGAATCCTAGCCAAGTGAAATTCTAACAGTTGGTATGGTAACAAAAGGTTATATAAGTAAAACACCAAAATGACCATGTAGAAACATATAAAAGTAATGCCCAATGACCATAACAAAAGTGGGATCTCTTTTTATAAAGACAGTTTAGTACATTGAGGGCAATCCCTTGTTGAAATGTCGTTAATTTATCAAAATATAGGACTCTCTGTCATTCTGATAGCGTCATATTTGGTACATGTTCTTATGGTTATCTTATAAATGAGAACAAGTTTCGTGTCAGAAGATGGGACGATAAGCGCAATTTACAACAGAATGATTTCGATTACGTTAGGTAATATTTTCATTGTTTGGGGGGGGGAGGGGGAGGTATGTTTTTGTTGTTTTGCTGTTTGTGATGTTGTTTTTATGCCACCGAAGGCATATTAAAATCGAACCGTCCGTCTGTCAGTCCGTCCGTCAGTTCGTCATTCCGTCCCGCTTTATACATAAAGACAGTGGTGGTCTTGTGCGGTCTGAAACTTCAGTATGCATGAAAGGATTTTAATTTTTCTTTCACATATAAAATAACAATAGATGTATGGTGTGTCGCGAACAAGACTAGGGTTTCTACCACTAAGGTCAATGTCACTGTGGGGGTTCAAACTTTGTCTTTTTTATGTTATATAAATATACACTGATGGTCGTGTCTGCTCTGAAACCTCAGTATGCATTAAAGGATTTCATTTTTTCATATATGAAATAACCATAGATGTATGGTGTGTCGCGAACAAGACTCTGGTTCCTAGGACTAATGCCAAGGTCACTGTGGGAGTTTAAACTTTGTCATTTTTTTATGTTGTATAAATATAGAATGTGGTGGTCGTGTCTTTCTGAAACTTCAGTATGCATGGAAGGATTGTAATTTTTTTTTTCACCTATGAAATATAACCATAGATGTATGATGTGTTGCGAATAAGACTAGGGTTTCTATCACTAAGGTAAAGGTCACTGTGGGGGTTCAAACTTTGTCATTTTTGTCTTGTATAAATATGGAAGGTGATGGTGGTCGTGTCCGCTCTGAAACTTCAGTATGCATGGAAGGATTGTAATTTTTCTTTCACATGTGAAGTAATCCTAGATGTATGGTGTGTTGCAAACAAGAACCGGGTTTCTGCCACTAAGGTAAAGGTGGGTTCAAACGTTGACATTTTTTATGTTGTATACATATGCATGGTGGTGGTCGTGTCCGCTCTGAAACTTCAGTATGCATGAAAGGATTTTAATTTTTCTTTCATATATGAAATAACCATAGATGTATGGTGTGTCTCGAACAAGAACCGGGTTTCTGCCACTAAGGTCGAGGTTACTTTTTGGATTCAAACTTTGTCATTTTTTATATTGTATAAATATAGATGGTGGTGGTCGTGTCCGCTCTTAAACTTCAGTATGCAGCAGGAAAGGATTTCAATTTTCTTTTACATATGAAATAACCATAGATATATGGTGTGTCGCGAACAAGACTTGGGTTTCTGCCACTAAGGTCGAGGCCACTGTGGGGATTCAAACTTTATCATTTTTTATATTATATAAATATAGATGGTGGTGGTCGTGTCCGCTCTGAAACTTCAGTATACATGAAAGGATTTCAATTTTCTTTTACATATGAAATAACTATAGATATATGATGTGTCGCGAACAAGACTCGGGTTTCTGCCACTAAGGTCGAGGTCACTGTGGGGATTCAAACTTTGTAATTTTTTATATTATATTAATATAGATGGTGGTGGTCGTGTCCGCTCTGAAACTTCAGTATGCATGAAAGGATTTTCTTTAACATATGAAATTATCATAGATATATGGTATGTCGCGAACAAGACTTTGGTTTCTGCGAGTTAGGTCAAGGTAACTGTGGGGTTCAAACTTTGTCATTTTTTATGCTATAAAAATATAGAAGGTGGTGGTCGTGTCCGCTGTGAAACTTTGGTATTCATGCAAAGATTGTTTTCTTCTTTCACATAGATGTATGGTGTGTCGCGAACAAGACTAGGGTTTCTACAACTAAGGTCAAGGTCACTGTGGGGGTTCAAACTTTCTCAACTTTGATGTTAATATATACATATAGACATAGATTGTGGTGTCTGCTCTGAAACTTATATGCATGAAAGGATTCTATTTTTTATTTAACATAATATGAAATTACCATAAATGTTTAAAACCCGTGTTCCTACGCCATAGTTCAAGGTCACTGCTGGGGATAAAACTTTTTCAATATTTATGTTATATACATATTAACGGCGGTTGTGGTGTCCACTCTGTAACTTCCATATACATGAAAGTTTCAATTTTTATTTAGAAATATAAAGTCACTATAGATGGACAATGTGTTGTGAACAAGACCCAAGTTTATTTGTCTCACTTAAAGGTCTTGGCTGGGGTTCGAACTTTGTCATTTTTTTCCACCACACTTTACAACTAATAGGTGGTTTATAACTAGAATCCTTAGGGGCTTTTGTCAAATTTTGTGACAGCTCTTGTTTGTTATTGTTGTTTTTTGTCACCTTTAGCTGCTTCTTATTTAATACACTGTAAAGAAAAATAATTCGCTTGTCATTACACAAATGTATTTGTACGTACTTTTCCTTAAACAGAATGTAAAATGACCGAAATTACATTACAAAATGTATATTTTAGGTTTTTCGATATACCTGCTGCTTTCTTTTCCAAAGACATCTGGTAAGAATCTATATACTTGGTTGTATCACTTTTGGTCTCAAAACAAAGTACCGTATATTGCTCAGATCACGTGGTAAAATGAGAACCTGTTTGCTGGACTAAGTTTTATCAAGCGTCACTTTTAACAGCTTTTTTATTATAAGCAGAACACTAGGTAATTATACAAATGGAGCTGATCTTTACTATGACGATAACACAGTAGCATATTATGAACTATAAAACATAGTTTATTCATTTTAGTTCATTATAAAACATTTACTTTTAGACGCCCTGCAGTGTTACAATTGCACCGACATTGCTGACATTGATGAATGTCTTACAATGACAGAATGCCATGCCAGCCAGGTAAATGTCTAACAGTAGCATAACGCCATATTGGTCAAAGAAATGTACAAGTTCGCATAATATAATACTATTCTGATAAATATGTCACGTTATTGAATATTTTAATGTTAAAGTTTAACGAATGAGGGTCAGCTTATGGTTAATGAGAGTAAATATTATATTAATAGTCAGGAAGATACCTTTAGTATGACAATAAACATTCCAAGCCGGGCAAATACAGAATTCAAAGTTACAAAGAAATTTCAGAACTCGGGTATTAGTTGACCAATTAAATTCCTGAGATTTGAGACAGAACTCAGAAAAAGGTTATATAACAACGAGACCATGTCTTAACTTATCACTCTCAAAACTGATAAATTATTATTCCAAATTGTCTCTATTTTTTGTCAATGACTATAAACGCTTTTTATGATATTAATTTACTTGTAATTTTATAGTCTTGTTACATAGAAGTAAAATCAACAGGACAACGAAGCACCCTCGGATGTACAAACAACCAGGTAGGCAAGAGATATACCAAAAAACAATTTTACAAAATTAGCAAAATTCTAAATTTGGTTTCGTTCGTATAAAACTAATGTATAGCAAAATAAGTGACATAATTAACTATAAAATTCCGTTCTCCTCTTAGAAAAAGTATCATCTTAGTTGTTCTAAACCAACAATATGAATATAAGATATTTGTTCAAATAAACGGAAATTAGTAAAAATTTATCAATTTGCAACAATCGCAGAATCAAACTGTACAGGACATATCTAGATACCAATATGCCTGTACTGTCCACTTTTGTAGTTTTTTATCTATAAGTCATAATTCCATTTTACAGTTATGTGGAGTAAGTGCCAGTGGTGCCGGAAATTTGATCGGTCGACAGATAAATGGGAGACAAACTTTGGACTGCCATGAATGTTGTAGTAAAGATAGATGCAATAAAAATCTGTGTGCACATTTAACACGTAAGCTCATCCTTTCAAATATTTCTTGGTAACTGAACAATAAAAAGACGAACTGAACATTCGTTTTTCTTAACATTAAATTATAAAAGGGTCAAGAAATGATATCATAATGAAAAAAATCCTATCACGTGACAAAAATAATAACAACATCAACTAACATTACATATTCGAACACTGCCGAAAGGAGGCAAAAACGATTTATGGGGTTTTAAAGATATCACCCAGCATTACAGATATAAGCCGATATTTACTGAGTTTTAGTTGTGGTAATCCTTTATGAAAGAGTCCAATTTCACATACGGAATAGTTGCAAATACGGTGATATCACTATAAGGGTGGCTACTATTTATATTTCAGCCGGAGCATGTATTGATGATGTGAAAGTGGATTGTGCTTTTCTAAATAGCTTTTTCAATATTTGTAAGGATATTCATCGAGCCAAGTTAATCTGTGCAAAATTCTGCTCACTGTGTTCACTTGGTAAGCTTAACGCTTTGACTTACTACACTTGTTTTTCCGGTTACAAATCACAATCAATGTAGTTAATTATTTCTCAGGTTTTAATTTTGAGACTTATTTTTTAGAGTGGCTGTTTTTATATGAGAAGCTTTTCGATGCGATAAAACTCTTTCAAAATAACTGTTTTCTTTTACCAATAACCAAGATTCGTATGAAATATACATACTATGTATAAGTAGACATAAATATTCGTTCCAGGGCATCCCGGCATAAATGGACATTATTTGCATTCAACGTGTTTTGACTTGCTGTTGTTCAGTAATACTCTCCAAGATCACAATATTTGATTTTCATTCATTTGGCATATTCCATTTGATCACTTTTAATCCTTTTAAACAGTGGATGGGAATTGGGCTAGCTGGTCTCCATGGTCTACATGTGACGTCACCTGCGAAAATGGGACTCAAAAAAGAACAAGACAATGTTCCGATCCTCCTCCAGCAAATGGAGGACTTGACTGTACCGGAACACGCACTGATATTAAGACATGCTCAAAACAACTTTGTCCAGGTATGAATTCAGCATAACAATGGCAAACTAATAAGTATTGGGTAATCCAAATCAATTACAAATGATCATATCTTATCCGAAACAAAAGACTTATTCTAAACTATTTTAAACAAAATTATAGCGACATATTTTGAAAGAAACAAAAGGTTAAACCAGTAGACTTTCATGTAAAAATAAGTTTAGAGAAACTAGAAATTCACCCAAACTGTATTCGTCAAAACGTTGAAGAGGATTCTCTTCGTAAGTTATTATGGGTCTTCCAACTTTGGTGCAGTCGTGTTTTAAAACAAAATTTCTCTCACAGTAAATAATAAGTAATAAATATGTATTTTTTTCAGATTTACTCTCCGTGATATTATAAATAAAAATTAGAAATTCCGATAAAAAATGTAAAAGATTCCTCTGTAAAATACTTAACTAGTAAAAGTATTGATTTTAACATTCCCTAAGTTAACTTATATATAACATCGGAGTAAAAATCGAACTGGGACAAAGCCATATTTAACAAACTTCATGACATCAACCCCTGTCGTGGCGTATCACAATCTATATTTCTTCTTAACCAAAATGATCAAGTAGTTCTTCTTTGATGCCGAACTGGATACACTAAAGTTTTGGCATATTGATTTTTTTAACAGGAGATCATGATCCATTGAATGCCATGATCTTGCGGACTGTTTTAACTCAGTTCCAGCCAAAATATTGTACAATTATTTATAGCATATATACTTGTATTCTTTAATTTAAGAAACTCATCTTAATTTTATGTAATAATAATTCTCTTTAGACTTTATTATCACATTTTAATTGTTCGGTGTTCGGCACGGTATGAACAGAAATGTGTCAATGTGCCGTTTAACTCAAATAAACAAGCAAACGAATATTCTACATGAAATATACTTCTGTTTACACTAAATATATTTTGTTTAAAAGAGACTCGTTCATTGTGAATAGCTTATATTTTTCAAAGTGCATGGTGGATGGACAAAATGGTCGAGCTGGGACGCGTGTTCTGTAACATGTGGTGTAGGTATAGAGAGGCGGCATCGTAATTGCTCGAACCCGATACCAGACAGAAGCGGACTTCATTGTTTCGGCGACACATTAGATGATAGAATATGCTTACCAGTTCCATGCGCAAGTTGGTTTATTATTTAATTTATGTACATTTATGTTTGCCGTTTATCAAGTAATGCCGGAATGTGAAAATAACGCAGGAATTGTGCAAATATATGACCTTGAGAGTGATACGGTATGTAAACGGGTCAAAGTGTTATTAAGTAAATCAAAATTAAAGAAATGAAGAAACGCGTAAAGCTGGCTATAACATACTTTAACCAGCATTAAAAAGATCAAATACATGTTCGCTTAATAAGATCATTTGTGAGAATGATGACTTGAAAATTGTATTGTCGTTGATCGATATAAGTAAGTACAACTAGAACTGCCACTAACATGGCGTGAATACCCCCGCATACCACTTTGTAAAAATCAACAGTGGCCATTTAGAGCTCAAGGACAACCTCCCTGCCAAATCTGAGGTTACTAAGCCATTGCATTGCTAAGTTATGTATTCTACATTCTTCAAATGTGAATATGTCAAAATCAATACACTGCTGACAGGCATTCTTAAGCAATTGAGGGGAAAAAACTTTTTTTAAGTCAAGGTCCCTGTGACCTTGACCTTTGACACAGTGACCTCAAAATCAATAGGGGTCACCTTATGGTCATGATCAACCTCCATGCCAAATATGAAGACTATGGGTCAAAGGAACCTTACGTTATTGGGCGGACAAGCTTTTTATAGTCAAGGCCCCTGTGACCTTGACCTTTGATCAAGTGACCTCAAAATCAATAGGGGTCACCTACTTGTCATGACTAACCTCCATGCAAAATATGAAGACTGTGGGTCAAAGGAATCTTATGTTATTGGGCGGACAAGGAAAAACCGACGGACGGCCAGACGTCAGGGCCGGACAGACGGACGTCCGGACTGATAAGCTGATTCCAGTATACAACTTCGATGTGCGGGGGTATAAAAACGCGTTAAAGATTTACTAGTAATTGTTTTGATATTCGGTATACAGTAGACATTTTCCATATTACAAGTAACATATAATATTTGAACAAATTAGATAAAAATATTATTCAAGTACTAATTTATGAGATAACCAGCGTTGCTTTCGTGCATCATTCACGAAATCGGCGTTACCTAATTAACTTGTTTAAGTCTCATTTTATTAGTTTTGCCAGTGTCTAAGAATACCAAAATATACCAATTTCAAAAATCAAAAATGAAATTCTACGTTTTTGTACACATATCACACATCGACAAAACACAAAAGTTACCGTCAAAACATTCCTGTGTTAATGGAAATACGGTGTAATATCAGCATGATCAATATCCTAATGAAGTCTAAATAAAAGTGTAGTAATACATATGCTGTACATTTGTTGTTTTTTAGTATTTTGTGATCTGATGATAAAAACTTTACTTAAAAAAAAGTTTTAATTGTATATTTTATCTTGTGTCCAAATATTTGGTATTCAAGATGGTGGTTGGACTGACTGGGGACAATGGAGCACATGTTCCGTGACTTGTGGAGAGGGCATAAAGTCTAGATCACGTACCTGCACAAACCCATCACCCTCACTCAATGGAAAATATTGTGAAGGGGATTCTTTAGAAGTTGATTCTTGTAAAAAAATTAGATGCAGTATGTTTTATACATTTATTTGTAAATATTCTTATTCCAAATCCGTATTAGCTGCATGCCTTCAGATGAGCCAAAATATTCCAAGAAAATCAAGCTTGAGAAAAATGTTCTAATATTTTAAGAAAAGTTAAAATATTCAAGATTCAAGTAATAATTGACATGTTTTGTGCAATAAGTTACCGATTTTGCAGTATTCATCACATAGTTTTACAGTAAGGGATATGGTTTGCATATTTTGACATCTTTTTTGGTAAAAAACGTGGACTGAAAGTGCCGTTTGCAATGATTTAATAACTTTCTTTGTTCACTTCACAGAGTTTTCCTTTAAGATACAATTTCAAAATGATCATGAAAATAAACATGAATCTGGAGGCATGCTACTTAAAAGTAAATTAATATTCTTTTCTGATCGAGGTATCTAGACACAATGCATTATATATTATAATACTAGTATGTATTATAATACAGTCATCAAAATGGAAAATACTCTAGCGAGCCTGTAATAAACCCTCACGAGATTAAACCTAATATTTCTTGCATAAAAACAGCTCGAGCATGTTTACATTACCGGAGAAGAATATATGCATTTCCAGCCAAAACACGCGAGCACACGCTGTTATGTTGCATTTTCTTAATATACGTGATTCATGACGCAATGTTATTATAGCTGATTGCAATGAGGACCCGTCAACTTCATTATTACTACCAATCGTTAAACATGGGCTCTTCCGTAGACTCCGGATAAAAGGCCTCGTACTAGAACACGCAATTCGCACGGGTTATAAGGAAGTATTCGATCTCTAGAAAGTAATATTATTATGACATATCCACTCCTTCTAAACGGTGGTATTTTCACATTTTGGTGATCTGTTTGAATTCTCGACACTTTTATAGAACTCTAGGCCAAACCAAACATGTAAAAGGTAAACTCAGTTTCTAAAAAAAATCCATTTGTAAAGAATATGCTTGTTTTAATTTGTTGGGTTTTTTTTCAATCAGAGAATGATATGCCAAATAGAACATTTTCTTTTTTCATTTTGGATGCAATTTTGATACGAAGTACCCAAGCTTGACGTTGCTAGATTTTTCGTAAATATAAACTTTTGTGTTTTCCTTTACAAAGAGACATACCTCTAGTGATTTCATTGCCGTGAAGTAAATGTTTGCCCACTTTATCGTGCATGGAACATGAGCCTAACCTCCCATTTGGCTTAACACAAAAAAATGTTCACAGGGTTTGGTAAGAAATAAAAAAAACTGACATTTATTAAAATGTGATTGGTGCCAGCACCTTGTCTATGGCTCAATAACAATTTTAAAAAAAATGTTAAATTTTTTAATGAAGTTATTTGGGCTATTTTTGGTGTTAAGACTAAAGAAACGTTTTGGACAATGTTACATGCATGATTAAGTGGATCAACATTAACTTTATGGTAGAGAAATTACTCAAGTCTCATCGTGAAAGAAAACACACGATTTAAAATTTCGTAATATTTCTAGCAACGCCATTTTGGAGTATTTCGTGTCGAAATTGCATCAAAATAATTAAAAAAATTTCTACGTGGACAAAGCATTCTTTGAAAAACTAGCATGTTCTTTAAATTGATTTGACAGAGGTAAATCAAACATGTCGCTTTATCATGTCACAGGTCAGTTGCGAAACATACTATGCACACAGAAAACCAAATTATGTTAATAAATCAGACGCATATTTGTATGTAAGAATAATGCTAAAACCTTTTTGTGCGGACTCGGGCTTTAACCCATTACTTACTTTTACGCCTTTTCGCCCCCCTCACTTTTAAAGGTCTAAATTTGGGCTTGTAAGAGGCTAAAAATAGCCCCAGGTCGACCTATAGGTAACGTGTAACCAATGCTGAAAAGTGTATGTCTCTATATCAATCAATTTAGCAGTTGCAGCACTTTGAAATCAGTTTTGATGGAATAATCAACGCAAAATAAGGATTTTTGGCAATTTTGAGATGTCCCCTTTTTGCCATGGTAACAGGAAATGTTAAGAATAGTTATGCCGTTACAAAGGATATGATCTAGTCAACATTTCTGCCAAACAGTATTGAAGGTTTTGTTCATAGTTTTATAGCAATTTGAACTTATAACACTTATAACACAAGGCTTTTATGAATGAAAAACAGCCATGTTTCACAAAATGCTCATGAAGTAATGGATTAATTAAAAAAATTAGAAAAGCTACAAAACAACAATTTTTCAACAAAACTAGGTGAAAGGCCACAGATTAACATGGAAAACTAGATTTTAAGTAATTCCAAGGTTTTTCATCATTTTTGTTAACCCTTTACTTCATATAGACGTGTTTTGACGGCTTTGCGACCACCCCCCTTTTTTGAGGCCTCAATCAGTGAAAAATTTCCCTATTTACGCCCCCAAAATAGTTTTTTGTTTGGGAAATGTTGTTAAAAAACTGATCACTTTTTCGGCGACGCCCCTACCAAAAAGATACATCAGGGGGTTGCCAGAAGAGGGATGTGCTCCCTTCTGTTTGGGGGGTTTGAAGTCCCCTCATCGCTAAGAAAATTTGGACTTGTGAGAGGCTATAAATGACCCCAGGTCGATTGGAAGGTAATGCTGAAAATCCATTGAGAAGTTGCAGCACTTTGAAATCAATTTTGATGGAAAAAAATCAACGCAAAATAGTGATTTTTGGCAATTTTGAGATGTCCCCTCATTGCCATGGTAATAGGAAATTTAATACTTAGCATGTCGTTACAAAGGCAATTGTCCAGTCAACATTTGTGCCAAGTTTGATCAGTATTGAAGCATTTTTCATAGTTTCATAGCAGTTTGAACTTGTAACAGGAGGCTTTTCAATGAAAACGGCCATTTTCACAATATGCTCATGAGGGAAAGGGTTAAATTAATTGAGTGCTCGTGCTTCTGCAGAAGCCAGAAGGCAGCCAGCTACTGCAGATGGAATTACATGAGAAAGGCGCATTCACCCTCTTTTCTCAAAATGTCTCATTTGGTCATGTATAAATTTGTACGGCCTTATCTAATACGAAATTTTCCGAATTGTCTTGCAAGAATCGGGATAAATTCTTGTGAAGGTCTAAAGCAGACTTGCAAGACTGTATCTTCAATCATTCGAAAATAACGCTTAAATATCCGACAATAAGGGGGCAGGGGACCTAAAAATGAAAAATTTTGTATTTCAGTGTGACCAGAAACACAATTCCAAATATTTCAAAATCTGTTTCACAGGCAGATAACCAGTTGCACAGCATTATTCAATGATATATGACATACATTGAAGAAAATAATAGTTTGCATGCATTGCTCCTTCAAAAAATGACTGACAGCAATTTATATTTACCCCCACCCAGCCAAAATCACACCTAAAATGTACCAATATAGGCAATCTTCATGAAGGTGCAGCATACTCCAGAATCCGCCCGATTCCTTTAAAAATATCAGTAACACGCAGTGCAAGCTATGGCATTTTCAGAAATGACAAATAAAGTGTCTGTCATACGTTTAGATTTTTCACAAAATTTATCTGAAATTTCTTACTTGTTTGGCGCCAACTGTCAAAGCTTGATTTTTAACTTTTTCACCTCCATTCGGAGAGTCAGAAATACATACAAAGCTACCAAAATGCTTAGTTTCGGGTAAAATCCCAAAAATATATCTCATTTCCTACACACAAACAAGAAAGAATTACAATGACAGAGAAATATCAGAAGTTATCAGTACCTTCAAAACACCATGTCTGAGTTATTAAAAAAATTGACCGGGGCCATCATTCGAATATGTCCCCTGCCCCCTAAGGCGCTGAATGTGTCTCAATCTCCCACGCAGTGATCTCCCTTTAAATGATTAGATCTTTGCCATCACATTTTCGTCAAGATTTTTGACCATATGATTTTTTTTTTCAATTTTGATATTTATTTTAAAAAGTAAACACGATTTTGCTAATGTTTCAAGACCGTTTGATGTTAGAACTAAAACAATAACTTCGGAAACAGATATTATGAAAATAATTTTTAATATCGCACCGTTTATTTCCAAAACAATTGCCGCTTTCGAAAGAGAAATCTTTCAAGTAATTAATAATTTCGATTCTACACTTAACAAAAAGGATTTTTTTTTTGCAATCAACAAACTTGACACCAGCGCTCAAGTTATACTGTCGCTGTTTATTACAGATAAAACAGTTGTTCAACGATTTCTTTGGCTTTGCACAATCATGTGATAAGACCATCATCACGTGATTTGTGTAAAGGCAGTGGTTACTGGCCGTTGCGTAACCGGAGTATGCGAGATTATTAAATCTCGCTACTTTATCTATTAAAATAAATAGGGACTTTTAAAATTGCACCAGGCGACATTTAAACTAGCCCAAACAGGACACCGTGCACTTATTATAGATTTTACATTGAATGCCTGTTAACTTTTGCGTTTTAGGTACACATGTAGTATTTAAAGCTAAGGGTGTAACGAACAGAAGTCCCGCCATTGGAGAAACTGTAAGATTTGGTTCTACACTCATCAACGAAGGGAATGCCTACAATACGGCTACTGGAATCTTCACTGCACCTGTTGGTGGAATATATTCGTTTAGTACACAGATTTGTGCTGTTACTAACCATGAAATCTCACTAGAAATCATAGTAGATGGAGTACCACATGCTAAACTATTTGTATATGATAAAGACTCGTATCCATGCGATAGTACAGACACAGTTGCTGTTTTACATAAACAATCAAAAGTCTGGGTGAAGTTCACCTTTGGCAGTACGGCCAATGTTACTAGTATATTTGAACATAGTTATCGTATGAACTCGTTCTCAGGATATCTGGTTCACCAATAAACTCATCTTTGGTGCTTAAATTTCAGGATGCAATTATTATTATTATTATTATTATGTTGTTGTTGTTGTTGTTTTGTTTTGTTTTTATGTTCATATATAAGTCTAAATTATATGATAAATCTGTTTTAAATCGTCCTTTTATTTTGTTATTCCTATTCCTTAAAATTCGAATTTATTCAAAGCAGAGTACATTCATTGGACTAAGGGTTATTGTAGAAATAAATAAATATTTTTTTTTTATTTTATTTTTTCAATCTTTTATTTCTTATAAATCCCTATTTATGATTTCTTTTCATATAAAAAAAGTTGGGGCTTACACTGTTATGCCCACAGAAAATAAGAATTGACGGATGTGTTTCAGACCAGCGTTATTCATTAAACAACTTATTTGCCGGGAGCGACCAAATATGCTTGGTATTGCTGAGAGCGACCAAATCTGCTTGGTATTCCTGAAAGCGACCAAATCTGCTTGGTATTCCTGAAAGCGACCAAATCTGCTTGGTATTCCTAAGAACGACCAAATCTGCTTGGTATTCCTGGAAGCGACCAAATCTGCTTGGTATTCCTAAGAGCGACCAGATCTACTTGTTATTCCTAAGTGCGACCAAATCTGCTTGGTATTCCTGAAAGCGATCAAATGATTAGTATTTCTGAGAGAAACCTAAACGGATTGGTATCAAGACAGATGACTAGTTACACAACGCGTTGTAAGACACCAAGTAGCTGGAGTTTTTAGGATAGTTTTAAGTTTTATCAAACAAATGTTTAAAGTATTAGTCGCATAACCCAACAATGTTTATGACATCAAATACCAAGACATTTTATTGAAGCAATTCCATGTTATTATTTTTTGTTGTTGTTGTTTATTGTTGTTCTTTTTTTTTGGGGGGGGGGTGTTTTTGTTGTGTTTTTTTGCTATAAAGTAATCTTGCCATTTAATCGAACTATACAAACGTTTCTTTTTTCATTTTATTTTTATTTGATCAGATGAAACAATCTATTATTGTTACAGCAAAAGAGAGGAAAACATGAACATAAGAAGTGAATTAGCATAGTAATATTGTTCATATTATATACAGTACTGCTGACATTATGCTCATTTTTTGTTATCAAGATAAGCAAAATCAGTAATAAATTTCAAATGATTGACTATTATTAAGGTCGTTGATAAAAAAAATTGTCCCACTCTCTTTTTATTTTATCAATTGAAAGTTACTGCATATTATATAATGAGTCAGGTGGGTTGTTGATTATTTTCGCCAAGTCAAATACAAATATAAAAACAAGTATGGCAAAATAGAGTGTTTTTCTTTCTCTTTTTTTTACTTACACCTGTGCACTCACTATTTACCCTGTGATGGGCAAAAATGTCGATGTTCAATCCAATTTCCGGTAAAGGATTTCTCTCACAGATTTGTATAAAATTTCTGTTACAACCAACATATTGCCATTCATGAAAAAAGTACCCGAGACGCCTACAATATAAAAAAAGCCTCATTCTTTATTTCCTTCATTTCTCCACTGGCGCCTTGATTAACTTTTGATTTGGTTGTCTGTGTTTTGTCGCTGTCTTGCTCTAGTCCACCGTCTTCTAATTCTGCATTGCTATGAACTGTTGGTTGATGGTAATTAGGTGTGGAATTTTCGTCTACGGCCTCCGTTACAGTGCCATGGTTATGCTGGTGTCCCGTGCCTAACCAAAATCCGTAACTGGAAGTCGGAGAAGGCAATATGTTACTGATCGACGCCATCTTTGTGTCAGTATTTTAGTTGTTTGTGGCAGTGAATGCATTTGATGTTCTTCTATATCTGGATTAATGAAAAAAGTCCTACCGGATTTTACGCTGGCTGTGTAACACCATCTGTACTTGATTTGTCACGTGGGTAGAAGCCCTTTGACAAGGACAAGATATGCAAATCCTTGCGTATCGGACTGGTGTTAGAACCTATGTCGGAAATTTCATCTGGCATCTGAAAGCCTCGATACCGCCCTAATGGACAGGTACCCTCGGACCGGGTATACTGATCCGAACCGCAACGTATAACAGATATTATTGAAATATTACATGACATGGCTTCTATTAACCCTAAACCTGTTGAGGAGTGTGTGGTATTGATTTGTCCTGTTTTGAATCTGGAACATTCCATTCAAAGTTTAAGGGATTTCAATATAGAAATACAAAACACCTACCAAACAGTATAGAGCTTATAAAGGCCGCGCTTATGTACAAAACTTGCCTGGCTTTAAAACAGTGGCAAACTTACCTTTGCGTCTGAACTATGCACAGGCGTGGAGCTGTGAATGTAGCACTTCCGGTTATAAAATGTCCAGTTGGCAGGGCAAACAGTATCTAAGAATGTAAGAAAATAAATAAATACCTGAAGAAATATATTTTTTAACCTACACACTCGTGTTATAAAACATCGTGCGTAAAATGTCAAAACAAGTTCATTTTCAATCATTTTAATGTGTTAATTCATGTGATAAAACAGTGCGTTTAGTCATGTGATAAAATGATGCGTTTATTCATTTGTTAAAATAATGCGTTTAGTTATGTGATATTTTTTTAATGCGCTTAGTCATTTGATGAAACAATGCGCTTAGTCGTTTGATGAAACAATGCACTTAGTTGTGTGATGAAACGATGCATTTATAGTCATCTGATAAAAACAGCGCGTTTAATTATGTGATAAATAATGCGTTTAGTCATTTGTTAAAACAATGCGTTTAGTTATATGATAAATTAAAAAAAATGCGCTTAGTCATTTGATGAAACATTGCATTTTAATAATGTGATAAAACAATGCGTTTAGTAATGTGATAAAACAATGCGTTTAGTCATGTGATAAAACAGTGCGTTTATTAATGTGATAAAACAGTGCGTTTAGTAATGTGATAAAACAATGCGCTTAATCATGTGATAAAACAATGCCCTTAGTCATTTGATGAAACAATGCATTTAGTCATAATTATGATATAAACAGTGCGTTTAATAATGTGATAAAACATTGCGGTTAGTAATGTGAAAAAGCAATACGTTTAGTCATGTGATAAACCAATGCGCTTAGCCATGTGATAAAACAATGCGTTTAGTCATGTTATAAAACAATGTTCTTAGTCATGTGATAAAACAATGCGCTTAGTCATGTTATAAAACAATGTGCTTAGTCATGTTATAAAACAATGTGCTTAGTCATGTTGTAAAACAATGCGTTTAGTCATGTGGTTAAAAAACAATAATTTAAGCCATGTGATCAAACATTCACACTCGTTGCTATATAATACAACAAAGAAACTTTCATTAAACAAGTTCAAGAAATTGTTAGGACCAAAACCTTTTATATAAAAACATATTTGAAATATTCAGATATATTTAAGTTTTCTTTACCTTTGACAGAAGCTTGGCCGGGTACATTTTCTTGTACTAAAAAGTGGTATCCTCGTCTATGGAAGGCAATAGCTGTTCTCGTGTCATGAACACTGGAATATTGAGTGAATAATTGTAAGAAATGAACGATGATGATAAAATTAACACAAAAATGTTTCAAACATGTAAAAGTAATGGGATATAGTAAAATTGATTAACAGAAGTTTTTTCTTTATCTCATTACAATTTGCCGGGCAAAAAAGATAGGAACCGCGGTACCGACGAGGAACGCCCTATAAAGACAACGCAACGTCATTTATCACTTACCAGTTAAATACAAGGTGATGCCGTCTGTTGCAAGAAGGACGAACAGGCTGACAATGATGAAATACCATATAAAGGACCCGCCAGATTTGTTGATGTCCTCGTTGTCAGTATCTTCCTTCTGATCAGCTGACGTCACGTTTTCTTCTACGTCAATAAAAGATTCCTCACGCAGGGATCCTTTTTTAAATGAAATGAATAATAAAAGAAACCTTGACTGAAAACTTTTATTAGAGGCTGTTAATTATTATTTAAATACAATGACTGGTTAAATTTGAGTAAAGTTGTAGTCTATTTAGTAAAACAGTGCACCATAGATAAATTTATATACCAGTAAACACATCAGAGATGACGTAACACTGCTACACACTCGTACAAACTCGGAATGCTGTTAATTCTGTAGTCCCATTTGATGTTGCAATGCAAAAAAGACGTGATCTAAGCACACTACAATAAAGGAAACATATGGAACACCGTGACTGTTTTATGTGATCAAGCAGACATTAATCAGATAAGACAGTCACGGCGTTCCATAGAAACGCATAAAACGTCATACAACCCCGTTTCAACATGGTACTTTCGCGTTATAAACTTCGTAATATCGCGTTGTCACCGGGCTTTCGCATTATCGAAAACTAGCATGTTAACATGAATTTTCCTGTCCATCAATATAACTGTCACAATTTTACCCCATTGCCAAATCTTAAACATATTATAAACATATTACCCTTCGTACTGTCTGCTTCTGTGTCACTTTGTGAATGCCGGAATGCCGTTAGGGCCATCGCCTATGAATGGTTTGATCTGAAACGCGATACTCGACAGTGCGATGATGAAAACGCGAAATCACGAAACTACGATGGTGAAAACGCGACAGTGCGATGGTGAAAACACGATAGTTTATCGCGTTTTCATCATCGTAGTATCGTACTGTCGCGTTTTCATCATCGTACTATCGCGTTTTCATCATCGTGCTTTCGCGTTTTCACCATCGTAGTTTCGTGATTTCGCGTTTTCACCATCGTACTATCGACTATCGCGTTTTAGATCAACACATTCATAGGCGATGGCCCTAACGGCATTCCGTAGTGTCACAGTTTAGCATGATTATTTCGTGCTCACTGAACATGAAGTGTGTATATACTTGACAGATAGATATATACGCCACTCGAGGACTTTGCATTGTATTGTTCAGGTCGTATTGTGGTTTGCGTATCTCTAAGAAAATAATGCACGTGGTAGATAATGGGCAAGATTTTAATGACGAAAGAGGAACATTTACCTTTCATGAAATAATGTTCAAGTGACATTGGCATGTTGAACATGTGCCGTTTTTTTTGTAGAAG